GTGCGTATGATTCGATATCTGTTTAGAACTGACATCTACCCAACTGCCTTGTTTTGATCCCAACTAGAGGATAGAGTACATTCGAACTACATAGACAGTCATTTTTCATTCCAAACCTTGTTTGGAACTTAAACTGTAATTTTCGAAGGTATTCTGTTACCTAGCTCGTGATGCCAAGCATACGTCAAAGAAAGCCTAAATGACAGCTCATTGATATCCGTGGAGTCAAACTGAATCATAAATCCTCTTTGGTATATCAAGTGCCTTTTGACGTCAGTCAATCACAACGTGGAACTTCGTACGTACGTACATCAGTTCGAGTTGTCATACCACATTAGCACAGACATGCAGTTGTTGATTCAAATCCCATAGTGGTAGAGGTAGTAAGAGTATAAGCAGTAATCGGAAACATTAGGGTTTGAAGACGTTATACAAATAGTATAGTCTAGTGAAATAAATTTGGAAAGAAAATAATGGACATGAGGAATTCAGAAGATTAGAATTTGGGAGAGCACAAAGAGTGGATGCACTTGCACCATTGCAAACGATTTTGAGCCATGCCATTCAGGGTCTCTAACCATCGGTTGCTATCATCTCGCGGTTCACAACCAGGTTGTCTACACCTACCAACACGACTCAGTCCACTTGTCAGTGACTTCATGAACTTATGCCGTGTTTTGGTCTAGCCGCTTTCTTCCATCCTATTCCTACACCAATGAACATCGCACATCGAGGCAGACGGTGGTTGGGCGCATGTAACACGTGTTCCAGCCATCTCAACTGATGAAGTTTCACCACGTCATCAATTGATTTGCGATCCTTACCTAGTACCCGTTTCCCAACAACTACATTACTTACTCGATGGTCCCAGCACATACGAGCAATGTTTCGAAGATATCTATGAACGAATACTAATAACCTACGAATATCCTCTAATCTTACCAGCCATGTTTCACAGCCATAAAGCAGGACGAAACGAACTGCTGCGCAGTAAACACGTCCTTTCGTTGATAGACGCATATATCGCCTACGCCATAAATGACGCAAGTTGGCAAAAACTAGTCGAGCTTTCTGTATCCGTACCGAGATTTCGTCACACACCAGACCACAAGGGCTGATGAGACTCCCAAAATAAGTGAAGTGGTCGACACGCCCAACTACTTCACTCCCTAATATTAGTTCGGTTGCCGATGCAACCCAATCCTGAAGCAACATTCTGCATTTAGAGGGGAGAACCGCATCCCGAACACACTTGCATTGTTGCTTAGAGTGGTTCAGACTCAAATGAGGATAATTATCATGATAGTGACGCCAGTTCTTGTTCGATAGTAAAGGATGTAAAAGATCTTAGTTCAGACGGGGAGGGGAAACCCAAAATGTTAGAGAAGAGCATAAAGCCACTGGTGCCTGTTGTGATAGGTCTAGGACTCCCTAAAGTAGACCTGAAAGCGGCTCACAATTGTGCCAACTTTGCCATAAGACAGCACATGCATTCCCTGCTGGTTATGATTGTTTTATTGTAGAGGCTGACAAGAATAATTTATATGTATTATTATTAATAGCTTTATTCAATATTATATTTTGGTACAATACAGAATTCTCAGCACAGGGTATTTCAACAAGTTACTTGAGCAAAAAAAAGTGACAAAGACAAAAATAATGTTAAAAAATAACCGAAAAACTGTACTTCTCAAATTAGAGATATGTTAGGAGGAATGCAGGTTACTGACTAGGTTAACTCTAACAACCTGTTCGTCACAGAGTATATTTGCTAGGTAGGGTATTATAGAACCTTTATGCTTTTGCTTGCGTGCATGGATTTTAATGTAATTACGTCTCGTTCTACCAGAAGAACGATGATTACATCGATATGCGAACAGACATAAAAGTTTGTCATGCAGATAAATGAATTATTATCAAGAGGTTTTAAATTGAAGAAATGGATGACCAACTCGGAAGAAATTAGGTAACTTTGCCTGATGTGTGTAAATAGGAGTCTTCGATGTAGAATCTGTAGTTTCCATTCGATTTCTTTACCGAAGGTACTGGAGAGTTATACGGGTTGTTCGGTTTGTAAACTATACCTTATTTCAACATCTGGACTTGTTTACTTCAGCCTCTAAATTCACAGGGAAATGACATGTTGCAAATATATTTATTCGATTTTTCCTGATGGAGATTTCGCCATACTTCACAAAATCCGAACAGCTCTCTATCTCACGTGAGCAGTTTCGTTTACTTTGTGCGCAGTTCATTAATGTTCTGCTCCTTCGTCGAAACGGCTGTTGCTAATCTTATCTTAGCCACTTCCACGTATTGGGAATGAACCGTACATTTTGACCACCTTACCGCTTCTTAGGTGGACTATTGCCTTCGCTTCTTTTAGGAAATCAGCTCCTAATACCGGTCTCAATAGGCTTGTGGTTACTACGAACGGGAAATTTATCGCAACACCACCCATTTTTACGATACTGTAAGACACACCCAACACTCCTAACATGTGCCCTCCTATGGTGTGAACTGTTAATGTACACGGCTTGAATCTTTTGCATTGCTCTTTGCGTATTAGTGATACTTCTACACCTGTATCGACCAGACACACTAAATCTCGATCATTTATGTTCACTCTTATTTAAGCTGCCACTCTATCTACTAGTGCAACAACCTCCAGATTCCTAGGACAGAAAGGACACGCGTTATAACGTCTAAAATATCTGCGTATTCGCCTTGTTGAACAGTTTATCTTCTAATGTCCATTCCCTCCACAAGCGTAACACCTATCACTTCTTTTACGATTCACCCTGTTCCCGTTCTTCCCTCCTCGATCTTCTCAACCTTCTGCTGCTAGACATTTTGTTCCTGATTAGCGTTATATACTACTGATGTCAACATAAATAGCACATAGTGCGCTTCCAGGTTTGTTGACCAGATTGCCGGCTCTGGTACATTGTTGCAGCTTTAGAATTCAGCAGTATAGTGTTTAGAGAATGAACAATATTGAATACAACTCTATGATCACTCATAGAAAATACATCACTGACGTGCACTGAGATCGAGTTTATTTTGATTGTAAATAATAAATCAGGTATATTATTCCTTTTAGCCGGTTTTCAGACACAAGATCCTAATGTCTCAACCAAATTGTTATGTCGACCTGGTACCGAAGACAAACTCCATGAAATGTTCGGCAGATTAAAATAACCTTCGATAATTTTAAACGTATGCGGTTCGTGAGAAGCAGTGAAAAAGGTTTGTTAGCAATTCGTCAAAGTTAGTATCCGCATGAGGTGGTCTGGATATACATCCCACTAGTAAATAATTTTACGATCCATAATTTACGGACATAGACAATTGTATCGCCTCCTAATCCATGATATCTATCGGATCGAAAGAAAACATAGTTATTTACGTGCAATGAGTGGTAGAAGATAAATGATTTACACCACGTTTCCGTAATAGGTACATTGGTTGAATTCATAAGGAATGAAAGGGTTTTAAGATGAGTAGTTTTATTAGACAAAGAGTGAGCATTGAATGAAAAGAATAGGAAACCGAGAGGTATCATGATGAAACAGGTTAGAGTATAGATCACAAGTGGTAGTTCCATGGATACTCGTGTGGTCGGCTAGGGTAAGAATTGTATTGTAAGGTGGAGTAGCTTCCACAACTTTATGATTACTTGAAATATATTTACCGTTGCCGGTAGAATTGTAACCCCCTCCCATTTTTATTGATTATGACATGTGATAGAGGCATCTCTACGTATAAGGCTTGTGAATGCAGGCACTACCAAAGCAATCAGCTGAAGTTGCACATGTGCCTGATCAATTGAGGTCCGACACATCAAAGGGGAGATTCGACCAGTCAATTAAAAAAATGAATTATAATAATTTTATTATTTGACTCTGATACAATTAGTTTCGATTGCGTTATATGCACTCACAAAATTATACATATACTATCATTATAATCAAGATTAGAACTACGACACATCGATACAGTAAATGAGCTATCTTCTCATTACTGATAACTTAGTGATGACAATCAGCTGTGGTGTCCATGATTGGTAACAGTAATGGTAGGATTCAGATTAGATAACTAGTGAGCGTTAGCATGCATCTCACGAGACAGCCTTAATACATTATCAGAATCAGTTCCCTTAACATCAAGGATGTTCAGCATCATATCCATAAATGAGTTATGATCTGTTTTTCACCGAACGCTTACTTGAGGAGACCCAACGCCTTCTTCTGGTTCAAGCAAGGCACAATCTTATTAGGAAGGATTTGAATGTGACCAACTTCGTGTTGTGTGGTGTTACGGGTATGAGGGCTGATATCACTTCCCGGCTGCCCACACCGTGGAAGGGTATTTCTAGAGGAACCTGAAAAGGAAATTGGACTAGTGTTGGTCTTAACGACCTGGGAGTGTGACCGCAGTGACCGAGGGACAACTGTTTGAGGCCGATCGCACACGGCCTTTTCGTGGAAGGTTTTTAATGTGTTTACTCCGTTCTTCAAAGGGCCTTACCGTCGGAGACAGAAATCCGTGATGAAAGCTGAGGTGTGACATCTTTAGGGTCGACCTTTTCTGACCCCACCCCTGCTTGTGGGAAGGCAGCATCTCTGCGGATGCTGGTTGTCGGAGGGAAACACCTTACTACTGTCACACCCCTATACAGACAGTAGGACTTTGCCCTAAGACCTTAAGTTGCTGCTTTTAGTCTTACCGTTCTCCAATCGACCTGCCTGGCATGGTAGAACCTACAGGAACATATGTTCTAGCCAATATAGCTCGGTTGGGTCATCACGATAGGCAAGCCTGACCACCGCGTCAAGGTAACACCTTCGGTCGATCTTATTAGCGATATCATTTACCTAAATGGTACAATCGTATTTACGAGTAGTGATTTGTTTACACATGGTAGTAAGGTAAAGGCATGTTACAAAACTATCAAGGATAATTAGAATTCCTATTCAAATATTAAATATAAAAGTCTAGACCGACGAAGTGATATTAGATCGTTTAACAAAGTTGTTTAATATTATCAAAAAATGAAGTTGGAAGTAAAGAAAGCGATATTTTATAAAATAAAAGAAAAAGACAACCGTCCATTCTATAAAGGGGAAGAATAAAATAATAATTAGCATTTCCGATTTTAAAATTGCTAGAAGAGGTTCTACGAACGTCGAATAAAGGATTGTACATAACTCTTTAATACACAGGGCTTTCGCTTTGAAGTGATGGATTGCCATAACTTTATCTGTGTACGAATTCCTCATCCATACTTCACTTGAGCCAACTCTCCTAATTTAGTAGATAATACTGGACGATGACTCTTGTGATGACAAGTGAATAGAGTTAGTGAATGGTTGATTAACAGCTTAATCCTCTAACATGTGGTCTCATCTTAGCCTTCCTTTTTTGTTTACACATAACCAAAGTATGTGGCTCAAAGTTGATTACATAAGTTTGTACATGGTGTATGAATAAATCATAAGGTATGAAGAAAGCGTGGAAGTCACAACACTGGCAACAATAAGTGTTATAATATTAAATGTCAATAAAAATAGCAAACCGAATAAAAAGCTTTCTGATACAGTAGGGTTGATCAATCACCAAATAACAATTGCATGTGATTTGTCAGTAAACGGCTTTTTACCAAGTACTGAGAAATAAACCACTGACAGACTATATAAATAATTCCACATGCAGTTGATTCTAACCTCTAACCTCCCTTTCTGATCAATTGGATTCCCATTAACAGTCGGTTATGTGCCGTTAGATTAGAAAGTTCCATCAGTGAGAAGAAATCTTGTGTAGGATTTAATTTGTTCTACAGACTATTCTACCAAACTGTAGATGCGATACTGACGACCCAGAGTTTATGTGAGAGTTATAATTAGAACAAGGACAACTAAGCTTTAAACTTTGTCTGTTTCTAAACGTAAAAATAACAATTTGCTTACTACAATAATTAGACGAATTACAGTCATTAAGTGGAATGCACAAACATACCGACCAGTATTGAGTGTTTTATCGAAAAGAATAAAAATTATGAGTTATACTAATATAACAGGATAATAATGTCCTTCACTTGGCAGGTCACATGCAACAGGGATAGTCTACAGACACATCAGACCAGATTGATGTGGTAGGTGTTTTAGCAACGATTTGATTGGTTAGTTATGGACATAACTGACAATGGCATCATCGGTGTCATTGTTAGTAGCAAAAAGTGTTAGTGCCCGGTAAATGGGGAACACTAGGTAATAACAGTTTGTTCAGCAAAAGGAAAATTTATCGAATTCGGTTGCTACTTGTGGCATAATCAATATGTCAATGTACAACATGATGGATAATTCAATATACATAGTTAAGTAATATGTTATCTGCCATCAGGTTTTCGTCGAGTTGAATCATAAGCACGAATTAATTGAGATTGACTGACTGCACCATGTTCTTCTTGAGAAAATGCATAACCATCTATATAGAAACAAAATAAAAGACAACAATATGTAAATAGTTCTAAACAAATTGGATGATACGGTCGTAGATTAACTTAACGACTAAGTGTATTTGTGATACTGGGTCACGTGAGTTCAAATACGAGTAGTAATTGTCTTCAACATTGTATGTCCATTATGCAGATGGGTATCACTTATCATGAAACATATACTGTAATAATATATTGTGTTTTATCCTGAGTGGAAAACTACCGATTTTGTCAGTGATTTCAGCGTGTTATCAGCAGCTTCTACAATATCAACAAATCTATAAATGCTTATTTTTATCATGAGACATTTAGAGAGTTTCGAGAATCCAAAATCCTACAAAATATCGATCCAGGAGAATTTAGGTCTAACGATAAGTACGTTACCAAAACACATCGAGTTGCGGTCGTCCTATAGTCCCCATATCTATTTCTCCGGTTAATTCGCGATAATGGACGAACATTGTCAATACGAACAAACTTAGTAACCTATAGGTAACGTCATCGCTACGAGATTTTATACATTTCGTTATACTACTTATCGATGTCAAATACCTTATGTTATAACATGAACATGAACAGTAGCGTTCATTTTCTTATTTATAGTGGTGTTTGTATAACCTTTTCAATATTTAATTCCCATTGTGCGTTATTAGTGAAACCTTATCCACCCGGTATTACATCCCCAATACATAGTGTTTAGATCAGTTCGCTAATTAGCGGTAGTTAAACACCCTAAGACTCAAAGTTCGTACACTATTTAACTAGTACTGTATTCCAATATAATCCTGTCTTTTTGATCTCAAGATTTCACGTGTAACTTAGTCATTCGGCTAAAGTCCTTGAAAAAACTCGGTGACACTGTTCAGTAAGTAAAGTGAGTGGGGCAAACTAGGGCTATCGCTATCTCATGAAAAAGTATCCTTGCATAGTGTGTTCAACCGCAAAGTGAACACCGCTGCGATGTACCTCTAATAGTAATTTAGTTCACACAGATTACCACTAAATGAGTCATGGACATAATCAGAACGAACATACAGTACCGTCCGGCTAGAGATGTTTTGAACTATGAGAAATGAAGATTAAACAAATCTAAATGTCAGGAATGGTGAGTATTTTGAATTAACACATAAGTTTGATACATACTAAGTTTGGTAAAATCATTGTTCCATAAGCCTAAAGAACAGACTTGTCGACAGCCTTCGAGATTTCTGTAGAAACGTTTTCAGAAACCTTAAGAAGGCTGAAAACTTCATCTAAACAGCGTGGAATAGGAACTCTTCATACAGTTCTAGACGAATCAGGAGTCACATTCTGATTGAACGACTATCGATCGTTTTTTTTACTGATTTTTTGCATGTTTCGATGACTTTCCGGATTATGTTTAATGACCCTATATCTGATTCCAGGTCGACCGTTATTATCATTATTATTATTTGAACACCAAATACATATGCGCCACACAAATCTCATTTGATTTGTGCGAGGGCTGTGATACTGCCCGGGTGCTCAGACGGAAGCAGGTGGTTTTCTTAGGGGCCGCATTCGGAGCCTTCGACCTAAAGGTCTGACTCATAATGCAGGGGAGAAACGTAAGGAGATGCAGACTCATGATAACCAACGTCCAACAATTACTTCATACTCCATTTGTTTCTTCAGGATACTGGAGCCATTGTTTTGGAATCAGGGTTTTCCAACTCCCCTAGGTCGACTCTCCATGTCCACCAAACCGGTTAAATGATTGCTGTCAAAATATACATCCTGACTATTCTCGTATATCATTATCGACTTAATCCGCGTTAGTGAATAACGGAACTAAATAAACCAAATACCAGAATGGATTTGGAATATGTATATTTCATGCACGCATTGATTTGAACAGGTAACCAGGGCGACGAAACAAAAAGGGAAAAGCGAGGCAGATTGAAGAAGCGAAGAAAAGAGCGAAGCGAAATTTCGCGCAGTGGAGGAGTACGAGCCAACTCAGTTTAATCAAGCGTTAATCGATAGTCATAGTAACACAAAAATAAGTTACAGACATGTGATGAATAAAGCGATGAGAAGGACACACTCATATGTACCACATAAAAACAGTCAAGGTTGATAAGCGAATAATTACCAACGTCTGTAGTGTTAGGCATAAGTTTTAGCCCATAATATATCTTATTCTAGTTTTCGGACATTTCATTCTATTCATTCTGCTTGAGTCATATTTTGACCTTGTCAATTATTCGCTTATTAGCCTTGACTGTTTTCATATGAGCGTATATGTGTGTACATTTCATGTCCCATGATTCATCACATGTCTGTCGTTTATTTTGTCTGCCTATAAATATTGAGTAATGCCTGGCTTGAAATGGAGTTGACTTCCCAGCCATCTTCCCTGCGCGTCATTTTGCTCTGTTCTATCATATTCGCTTTACATACGAAATATATGTATTCAACATCCCATTCTCGTTATTTGACTTATTTAATTCCGTTATTGGATAACGTGATTTAAGTCGACGATTATATACGAGAATAGGCGATAACAATTATTCATACGATCAAATAGGAGTCAGATCACGGGCCACTAAAATGGTAACCCCGACGTGGGAACAGGAAATGACGGGTCACTAAACGTCAAAATGTGACCCAAGGAGAATGAATGGGCTTGTCAAGAAGCTAGAATAAGTTATGTAGGCTATATATATTGGACTTACGATCTGTTTGCCGAGGATCTGTTATGGGTGTCGGTGATGTTGTACTTGTACGTACATTGGCACCAAGACAAAGATTAAGCAATGCTTGTGAACCCATACTTCTACGCATAATCCGCACAAACGCGGAACGGTCGGTAGATCTGTAATAAATTACATACATATTAATATTTTTGTTTGAAAATATTTAGACATTCAAAATAATAACAAATGACAGAAAAACTCAATAGTAATAATACACCAATGAAATGCAAAGAGAACATACAATCAGGTTATAAGAAATCCTTGAGTGTAACGGGTAGGTAGAACAACGAATATAATCAGAGTACTGTTTTATTTATCAAAGTGAGGAACAATTAACAATATTCATTTTAAAATTCAGCGAACAGAAGACGAAATAAAGTGATACAAGAAACTTTGAATCATATACACCTGTATGAAATATATGCACACACATATATCACAATCTAACAAAGACTATTTATCTGTGATGTGGAAAGGAAACAGAAAAATTTGATTTTCATGAAATAGATGGTTGGAAAATTGGACACTGATGATTGATTAATAAACAAAATAAAATTATCTATGTGGACAAGAATGCTTGTTTGTGATAACTACTCGGCAAAAAAAATGACAACCAAACCTCAAGGTTAGTGGTCATGACAAAGTTTGATAATGTATAGTTCAAGACACAGGGATAGTAACTCAATTAGTGTCATGATTTTCGAAGCACTAACATAGATGGCTTGATTATATTTTACGAATCTCATTCCAGGGAATTCCACATCATGCATCATCTGCCAACACTAGAAGTGGGGATGGATAAAATGAAGGTAGTTTTTCCAATTATATGGAACCGTGGTCTTACAGATAACTGCATAGGACTGGTTTAGTGCCCAATATCTGACTCGATTATGATCGAATCAGTAATGATGTAGACAAAATCTAGATCTTACAAGATAACAATGAAAAGGTCAAATACACATGCGGATAATAACTCAAAAAGAATAGATTAATTGATTATTGAAAAGTTAGGATAACTCACGTAGCCATGAAATGGTCCTAAATGCTACATGGTCCCACTTGTAGAGAATTATACACAAGTTTGGACCAACAAGTTAGAAGAAGGTTAATGTGTCATCGGCTCTATATGGAAAAATTAGGTGACTTAATCAATACTCAGATCAGATCATTGAACTCCTCATATAATTATGACCCGATCATACATACCCAAAATATAATACAAATGTGTTAACTACAGGTTCTTAAACTCTATAGTTTAAGGTTAGTTAATATATCATGACCGCTAATTTTAACTTTAATTGTAACTTCATCCTATCCCTATGGAGTCGATTTTATACCCAAATACCCTGGTACGGCTAAGGGTAGGAAGAGTCTACTCTTCTCCTCTAAATGCTCTCACATGACCAAATGTATATAAATAATGCCACGGAAATTCTACTTCCTTCTCATGGTGGGGGTGTTGTCTACGAAATTGAGGGAGCGGAAAGAGAATACCCAGTTAGTAGATAAGGAGCATCCACCTAGGGGAAATGGAAAACCTTGATTCCAAGCAAATGGTAGACATGTGCTACAGGATCCTGAGAGAGCATGTGGCACATGAACCTATCTTTGGTTACCGGCTATCATAGGACCGCGTCTCCTAACGCTGTTCTGTTATATCCTAGTGAAGACTATATTAAGGAGTAACGTCTGAGACCTATCAATGGACTAATATTACTTATATATTCTTATGGTATAAATATTCAGTAACTAGATTATCTATATCTATATTCCCCTTGTTATAAGCTTTATGTTGATCTATATATTATTATTGTAACTATCGGGCCATAAAGACACATGTTCCATTACCTTTTGGATTAGACCTCCCAGTCAAAAGTTCAGTGACTGACTCTCTAAGAAAACTATCTGCTTAGGTTTAAGCACCCGGGCAGTATCCTAGCCCAGACACAAAGTCAATGGTTTGTGTGACCCACACATGATTAGTGCCCCTTTTAACCAATGTTTATGTGCTTAAATACAAAAAAACTTAATAGGAGCGAAGTATTACTCTATCTTGTTATTTCTTTGAAATTGCTTTCACAAATGAGTGTTTTTCTCAGCAATTCAAACCGTAAGTATTTAATGATGATTTCTTCATTGAAATAAACATTAATAATACAGTTGGTAGTTGAAATCTAGACTTAATAACTGTAGCATAACTGCTTTGAAGTGTCTCTTCCTTGGTCGTGATTGGTACGCCAATAATCAAGAAAAACAGTTGGCCAACTTCACAAATTCGATCGTTAAATATGTAAAACACACTGATTCAGGGAAATGAAGGTGAATCAATAAATTGATAAAAATAGAAGAAAAATATCTAGTCATAGGACTGAAAAGATTTGAAAAATTTATAAAACTAAAGACATGGAAATTAACAGAATAAAAATAAGCAAATCATGTGGCTTTTTTATATACATATACGTACACAGACAGGATATTCAACATAATATACAGTGAATATATTTATTACTATGCATGTGTGATATAAAGATTGATTATTAATAATTATCATTGCTCAATGTGAACGAACCTTAGTATATAGAATATCATTATAGATCAATTAGAAAGAAAAAAACAAGTGAACGAAACAGGCAGTCAGACAGACGAAAGGACATACGACAAGATGAGATCTGATATGTGGTAGAAATGTATATCAATAAGATCAGTCATAATACTTTAGATATGATATTAATTCTATCGATTTAATTGCAATGTGACCAGCAGAAAGAATTCGATTAACGTAAAATGGACTAGGCAAATATGAAATCCGTCACTCACTAATCTCTCACCCAGTGATAAGTCAATTGTAAATATTTCAGTTCTACAGGAAGATTAGTCGCTGCTTGAACAGTTCAGTGGTAACATCTCATCCTGTGAAACTGGATGACGCGATTTCGAATCCCAAATGCAGTGTCAGTTCTATCAAGATTGCAGGCGTGTACCTTACAATGGTTTCTTGATAATTACTACTATTTCATAACATGAAACAATTGTCCACTGCTTCACGATTTTTTTTTAGTTTCTTAATGAAAGTCAGTGAGTTATGTAAACTTCATATGGAACAATAACAAAGAAATGAAAATTCTAAAGTGATCCAATACAAAATGGGAATATAAAGGCTACAGGATAAAGTAAACACAATGTTTCAGATGTAATTGGAGAGCAAGGAATGAGTGGATAAGAGAGATCGCAACGCATTTATCGAAAAAGCGACTAGCCATTCCATACACATAGTTCCCTTCATCATCTTGAAGGGTAAGAATAAAGATTTGAACGGAATATCATGAATTTGTTTTATTTCGTTCGGTTCTCGACGACTGCTTACAACCTGTAATATACAAAATTGGTAATAACAATATGATCTTAAATAAATCACATAAAAGAGTTTGGCAGCTTCCAACTAAACTCTTTCATGTAAGTAGTTTAAACCCGAATTGTAACCATGTTTTTTAAATATTACAGGTCGTGGGCAGCTGACGAAAACCAACCGTAGTTTTATGACAGGTTGTGATAAGAATAATAGAGACTTAAATCACTGTTTCATAATAAATAGTGGGTCAAAGACTCGGAAAAATAGACATTTTAAATAACATCCATTGAAAATTATTGGCGTTCAGTAATATGAGGTGTTTAAATAACTAGATAGTGATGTATATATGCGAAGAAAAGCTGTGTATTACTTCTATACTTTTCAACATGAATAGATACTGAATGATAAACAGCGGATACATGTACATCTCATGAATACACTAACTAGTAAGTAACACAATTCCACGACTTTAAGATTAGGGATGACCATATCAAGGTACTTCTTCCTTATATATTCTTTTAATGTACTTCAGCTTTATAGCTAGCACAGGATATCAGGAAAGACAATTTAATAACTTGACCAAAAACATTCAAAAATTGATAAATGGACTCATTTTTTATTTTAATTAAAACTCAAGAATAACCCAAGACATTACCTATTCGACTATAACTCTGTCATTAAAAAACAAAGATATGAATATCGTTATGAACAGAGATTACCCAAATTCTAATGGCAATTACATTCAATGATCAATTATAGAAATGATAGGGCAGTAAAGGAGGAAATGATGATGTATGGTTTATTCACCATTCGTTTATATACATTTTACCGATGATATATATACAACAGTGGGTGTAGACTGTGAATTTTTTTACGTTCATAGTGCGGTTTTATCAAATTTAAACAGATCATAAATAACACAGTGAGTCAGTTGTGAGCAACGTAAAATTCAAGAGATATATTCTTAGGTTCAAGTTACAATACCATACCACTAAAGTGATAAGAAATTACCTTGGCAAATGACAGAGTAGTAGAAATTACTAGTGGTATCAATAATGACAATAAGCAATACGATTCAAAAAGAGAGAATGTATTTGTGGAAGAATGTGTATAAAATGATCTTAAAAATTAAGATAGAAGAGAAGATAAGGCATGAGTGTATCAACACAATTGTGGTCGATAAAGAGCCATGTCACCCAATGGTTACGATAATTAATCTGATTATCATAATGTTGTTTTTCACCTACTAATATGGGTTAATTCAATAGCGAATAACTTTATTGACCGCTTCCATGTATTGGTTTGACCACCTTTTGATTTTTTTCAATCTGCACCACAATCAGCCAACAAAGTAGTAGGTTAAGTATGCGTAACATATGTCCCGATCACTCCAGTTGATGAAGACTCACTACCTCAACGAACAATTTGTCATCTTTGCCTAAGACCTGCGTCGAAATTCAGCAATACTCATCAAATAGTTTTAACACAAATGAGCAATTACTCCAAAGTCATTTCAGTCAGAAACGTTGGATGATCGACAAACTGAACGTTAAAGTATACCACAGTTTTGCAAAATTATTTTATTTTACTAAACTTGCATCATCTCTACATGTTTCAAGTTAATTGAACGGTACTAGGTTGACAACTCGGATGTAGACAAATTTACACTGTAAAAAAGTCACAGGACGATTATGTGACGTATGCAAGCATCGTAGACCGGGAATGTGAGCGGTTTCGTTTACAGGAAATGTATTCATATCAGTTTAAATACCTTATTTTTGTCTGTGGGTTACAATCTGCAGTGGATGCAGACATTAGAACACGGATCTTAGCGAGGATCGAACAAGATCCTAATATCAGTCTGCAGTTGGTATCAGAAGAATGTCAAAGAATAGTGAATTTGAAGAATGATACAAACCTCGTAGAAAGGAACAGTAGACACGTGGAAGTTATTGCTTTGTGGAAAACTTTTAATGGAAATAAGGATTCGTACTACCAGCGAATCCCAAATCAAATGAAATCCAAAACGTCCTGTCGGTGATGCAGCGAGTGTCATTTTGGTAATGTTTGCTATTTTAAAAAGTTTGTTTCCGATGTGGTAAATATGGTCATGCTCAAGTATGTTGTAAAAGTAGGCCAAAGATTGCCGACCGTCAGTATAAGTTCCGTGAAAGAAATATGACGCGGACGTCAAAAGAAATACCACAGAGTTCGAATGTTGTCCTGGCCACAAATTATGCTCAATTCTCATTTAACTGGAGGTACGTAACTATCATTTTTAATGGTAAACCTGTTAAGCTGCAAATTGATACGGAGTCTGACATAACATTTAGTTCTAGAGAGACTTGGATAAAACTTGGTGGACCTCAATATCAACCTACATATGATAACGCTAAGAGTGCAACAAAACTAACATTAAGAAAGAGGTGACCAATTACAGAATAGAACTTGGTGAGTATACTTTATAAAATAGATATTATAAAAGATCATAACTAATATCCGATTAAAAATGTCAGTGCTTCGACAATTTTATCTGAGAAAAATCTTAACTTGAATTCATAACTACTAGACGTAATCCACATCGCAAAACACACACACATGCACATACACGATCAATAAAGAGTAGGTCCAAATGAAAAAAAAAACAACATATTTTACAAAATACTAACTTCGGACGAATACTGGCACGAATCAAACGACCTGGATCAACTTGCATTTGTTCCATTTGCATGACTTGCTCACGTAACGTACCAGCTGTAACACGTTTAGCCCTTTAAGAATTAAAATAGATAACGAAAAAAAACGATAGTTAGATAAAAGATAGTGAATAGACTAGACAGTTGGATTAATCGAGAGCTTAACGTTGAAGTTATCTACAACGTGTTTTAGTGTGTAAGAATTTTAATATACCCCTGGGACTTTCGATACCTAGCATCCTTTCATTAATAAAAAAACAAAATTAGATTAATTCACCCTCCTGGTAATTGAATATGACTGAGGGTTAATGATACTAACTGGTTGCCCAGACCAAAGTAGGTGGAGTGGAGTTCGGAATTTTGGACGTCCAAATGATTGAAAGTTGAACGCCTTAACCATAAAAAGCCATTGCTTCATTCATTTATTCGGCGGATGAGTGCTGAATAGAGATTTTATTTCATGCTCTAACTTGAATTGATTCCATTTTTCACCGGGTATATTGAGGATGAGTTACACTGACATTTTCATAACAGATAAGCGTGAACAACTCCAGACGCTTGAGGTGAAATACTTGCTAAAACGCCAACCACAATATGCATCATTCATCAGCTGAATGAACAGAAAAGTGGCCGAAAATTATCTGTACAACACATATTGATAATCGAAAACGCTGCAGATAACCTCAGTCATGTTTAAAAAGACAATTTTTAAAACTTGGAATTAAATTTCAGAAACTGATGTAGAGCACCAAGTATAAATAAAACCATCATCGAGAATAATTCAGCAACTTTTATAATAACGAGAAGCAGTTGATTGTATCGTGTATTTAAGAAAAATGATACACAATACTGACTTGGTTCAAATAGCTCAGTGATAACATCTCCGAATACGAAACTAGGTTATCCCGCTTTGAATTCACTAAGAGACATCAGTCCTCTCAAGATTGGAAATACACCTTATTGAAGAGCTGCAAATAGCACGAAAATGAAGTCCAGAATTCGGAAATCGGAATTATGTTTCTAACTCATAAGTACTTATACGTTAGTATATGGACAGGGGCATTTGGCTCTTACTCATCGTATGGTCTTGAAGAAAATGTGATCTATTAGAGGCTTTGTTAGGTATATCACAACCTATTAACTGTGTATTGTTGTTTGCATCTTCGAATTGTTCGAATGGATTCCTTCTAAACGTTTCATACAATAACATTCAAGGGATCCATAAAATTTCATGTTACATTTTTCAGTGGAATCAAACAACAGAAATCAAATATGTCTTCGAAGAACGTATGTAGATGATATGAATGAGGAGATTACGATATCACCAAGGATCCTCCATATTCATCAACTAGATCAGGGCGCCGGACATTCGCTTTCGGTCCTCTCAGTTTCGTAAACAACACCCCCGCCGCGAGAAGGCGATAAGTAGGACTTCTGTCTGGCAGTGGTTGTACGCACGTAGCCATGTGAGAGCATTTCGAGAGGGGGAGCTGACTCTCACCACCTTCGGCCGTACCAGAGCATTTAAAGGCTTATTTTCTAAAACTTAACTTCTATATATGACGACTGGTGGTCACCTGAGCACCATGTAAACAGTTGCTTAATTCTAGGTTGTTTATTTAGACAAATCAAAAATTGTTCATCCAGAACATTGTGCATAGAATACAAAATCACAGTAACCATAACACTTTTAAATAATTCTGAGTTCTAATCCAATACAAATGCATTATATGAGGCGATACTCCGATTGGTTCATATGAAAGTATTCTCTATACTTAAAGTGTTAACTTTAATTGTGTAATAATCTTAGACGGAAGTATTACTGTGAGTCATGAATACACTTGTTAGAACTAAGTCAATCCAAACACATAGAATGTGGTTGTAATGTATCATTATTCAAGGGAAAGATCACAATTTTTTTCACATTTTTACATGCCGTTGGATGTTTGGTTTAACAATCGAAATAGATGAACCAAAATATAAAGTAGAAAAATGTCTATCTCATTAATCAATGACTTAAAATGTTGATTTATAGATCAGTTTTGTTAACTGAATGGTAATTTACAAAGAACGAAAAGTATTCGCAGTTCAAATAAATTTCAGTTAAACTATACTGACGAACCGATTAAATTTCAGATAGCGTAGTGATATGATTAGCGTGTACCTTATCATAAGTTCTAAGTAAAAATCCTCTATTGTTTAGATTGTAAGCTGTTTAAAATTAATATGTTGTGCAAACATAAATACTGAATACAACAGCCCTGTTAACTAGAGCGAGCAGACCAGATTCAGTCAGGAAAAATATATATCTTACACAAACAGCCCAGAAGCACGAAAGAGCAAGCACACAACTCATGCGTACATGTGCAGAACAAAATGTAATTGATAAACGACACAGAATGGCGTACTAAAGGGGGAAACGAGCCAATTACCTTTAAAGTCTTTCAAAGTAGCAAATACAAACTGAAGGTGAAAATGCGCGCTGTTGGCGCAAAGACGAGAAATTCAATTTTCCATAATAAAACTACAAAAATGAGGCTTTTACTTAATGATTTCTAGGGAACTAGCATCGCCAACAGTATAATAATTCAAGATGATAATTCGAATGCTTTTAGCACGAGCAATATTTTTCTCAATTCGATAAGTGTGAAGAAATTAATAAGCCATTGAATACCGATAAACCGAGATAGTATTAACGATAGTGAAAGACTACAACACTGGAGAATACAGAATGTAAAAAAGAAATTAGGCATGAAAGAATAAGTAATTCATAAAACTTCATACTACTTTTCATTGGAAATTATCAGCGTGCATACATACACATACGAATCTAGCAACTCTGCCACCTTGTGGCACAGAATAAAAAAACAGATGAAACTTGCATTTTCCAAGCAATATCGCGTGTCAATGCAACCATAGGTATCAGTAAGAAACCAAACCAGAAAATACCGCATCCATAAACAGCAGAATCCTAAATGATACGAAGAAAAAAACAGGGAGAAGGAAATCACGTAAAATAAGTCAATTACTCATATACAATGCAAAATGTAGCAGTAGAAAAGATTAGGTAAAAAAAACAAAGGGTATAAATCGATTTCAGGACTCAGGTTCTAAAGCAAGACAAAGAATGAATGCACCGACGCCTTTGTAAACTATTCTGAGTTGTTGATGGAGCTTTGTTCCCTGAGCTGGATGGTTTGGTTGTGGAGCTTTCATCATTCTTCTGAACAACATCATCAGCACAAACTTCAGGTAGAAGTGAAGTGTTCGAATTTCTCCATAGGGTAAAGTGATGGTGACATCTTTAGGGCTGACGTTTTCTAACCCCTTCTTGGCGTTGTTAGAAGGCTGCATCACTGCAGGTGCTGGTTTCCTATGAGATGCGTCTTGCTTAAATCACACCTTAGTGATCAGCTGTACGACTTCGCTCTCATCGTTCCCCAACAGACCTTCCTAACACGGGAGGATCCAAAGGAATATGTGTCCCAGTTAATATAGCTCGGTTGATTCATCATGATAGGCAATCCCAACCACCTCGCCAATGCAGCGTCTACGGTTGTGAATGATCTTATTTTATGGACAAGTTTTGGTACGGCACCTAATTTGATTTAAGTACCGACAAAGCCTATTACGATGCCTAATAAATTTATGCTGTTGTTGATGTTTAGTACGGGGCTACGATATTTACTGTTATAGGAACTCTAATGTACATCCTTTGGTAGTTTTGCATTTGGCCTGTAGGTAACTTGTCTACTAGTACAGTGTTAGGAGTAGTGAGTGAGTTTATCCGGAAGAAATAGATACAAGATGAAAAGTGAGCTGACTACTCAGTAAGCACATAGAGTGTACTGGGATGTAAAAACGAAAGCAATCGACAGCAATCGGAATTTACACGAGCGTGAAATTAAGAAAACCTGACAATTTACACAAGAAGTTGATAGTGTAAGGTTTCGAATATGTTACACTTCAAATGTTTTAGCTACTCTAATATAACAAAGTTCTCTTTGAAATCGTTAACCAATGTGAAGTGGGGTTCACGGATGAGACTTGGCAGTGGCTGAAAGTTCAATGCACTAACCCCTAAGCTACTGCCTCACTGATTGTGATTGTAAATCACATATTTGTCAAGACAACATGTACACATTTTATTATGATAACTAAAAAAGCAAAACAACTCAGGGATATTGATGAAGAGAACCTACCATACCAACCATATCTGATGCCAATGGTAAAGTTGGATAAACATGAGGATATATAGTAAGAAATAAGAACCAGCAACCGATACTACCCCATATTGCTAAATGTGATAACCATGTCCATGCGGTATGCTCTAGACCAGCTTTTAAGCAAACCGTCACAACTACATACTATAAAAATAAAAAGTGTGTGCGTAAGAGAGAGAAAAGTGAAAATTGCATAAGTAAAAAACATGATTAAACAGGAAGAAAACGAGACAAGGCATCAACATAACTCAGATCTAGAACACGTGCTTCACCCGACTAGTACGTGTGTTAGTTAAGTCAACAACCGACAATCAAGCAAAAACAAGGGGTAGGAAATATATACGACATATCAAATACCTGTCAAACTATCTACTAGTCTTTTATCCAGGATAACAACCAATCACTATATTCTATCGCCCACAAAAAACATTATTTAATTTTCTTGAGAATTTGAGGAATGGAATGTTTCAAACTTAACATACATATACGCCATTAATTTATGTCCTTTATGACATGTTATGATATTCCATCAGTCAGACGGAAAAATGAATACATAAATTTAAATTATACCCGTAAGCACAGATATTTACAACAATCGCTGCTGCTACTGCTTATTTAGAGTTTGTGATTTGATTATTTGTCAAATCGCTCTAAATATAGTAGTGGCGTACGAATCCCCACCTTAGTCCTTGCACTGAATCCGGACTTATTTTTCACGAAGGTGATCGGTTGGGTCAATTAGACAGATCAGTTTAGCAAAAAATGATAAATGAACTGCTGACAAAAGAATGAGATTGTGCATGTTTTCGATTTACTCACTCTCAGTTTTCCTACTCAAGTAGAAGTTAGTCATGTGTATAGGAAGTATATATGATAGCATCTCACTGGGGTGACTACACAACATAACAAAAAAACTATTGAAAATGAATGGTGAATGTTCAACTTCCTTGTAGTTCATTTGAACTGGGTGAGATAAGATAAAAATGTTAACTGTACAACTTTGTTGTTTAAACGTCCTAAACGGTATTCGCAAACACGTAAAAGTTTGTTCATAGAATGACAGAACTAAAAGCTCAGGGTTGTTTGCAGCTACAATACAGATCATCTTATTTTTTTACCACTTTAGTCGACCTCAGATCTGATGACATCAGTATATATTACTCATATCACCTGAAGATCGACACGTTATTATTGAAGCTCAGAGAGAGAGGAATTCTGCGTGGCTTAATAAGCGATAGCAAATCACGATTCGCCAATGATTAGCCGGTATCAGTAGTATTAAATCGATTTAAGAACAGTAGAGAAAGACCATAATAAATTATTACCATTATTGTATATACTATTGTCAACTTTAGACCGCACCATGTTCAACAAAGAAAATATTTATAGATCTGTGGAGACTGCAGTATTTTCTCAGTTTAAACCACAGAATGGTTTAAGTTAGACTGGATGGCCGTTTAGTCCTAGCATGGGACTCATCGGCAGTGCGCATCACGACCCCATCCATATTCGGAAATAAAACTCAAGACACTTGGTTTCACGCGTGAATGCTGGTGGCTGAAAGTCGGATGTATTAATCACTACACTGGCATCCACCAGTGTTATTGTTTAATCAATCCACAACATTGCACTGGGTGGTAGACGCACATTGCTGACGGGTCCCACGCTAAAAAGAAACGGACATCTAATGTTCCCAGGTTCTCAATGGTGGTCTAGCTAAAACTATTACATGGCTTAAACTGTGCGAGAGAAAATTTATCAAAACCCAACCAGATAATCTGCACCTAACTACAAGGCTCAGTCCATCAGTCAATGACTTCACCGTTTGGTACCAAATGTTTTTCCAATCTATTCTTACAACAGAAAACATTGTCCATCGTCAGTCAGTCAATCAGCTACAACGTAGGACCAGGCACATGTGTGCATCGGTCCAGGTTGCCATACCTCATCAACACAACAAGATGAACACCGGATTCATAACAGTGGTTAGGTAAAAGGTGGTAATATATAAGAGAAAGATTGCATATAGAGATATAGTACAAGCAGAAAGAATTGGTTCGTAGAAAGAAAGATATGAAGCGATTTTAATATCTTAGTTTAAGGGAAGACAGGGAGTGTATACACCGACGCCATTGTGATCGATTCTGAGCCATGTCACCAAGAGTCTCCAACCATTGATTACGATAGTCACGCGGACCCCAACCAAGTAGTCTGCATCTACCAACATGGCTCAGACAAGAAGTTAGTGACTTCAAGCACTGATGCCACGTTTTGGTTTGGCCGCCCCTAATTCTCTTCCAACCATCCCCAACACCGGAGAGCATTGCATGTCGTGATAATCGGTGTTCAGGCATACGTAACACGTGGCCCAGCCATCTCAGTCTATGAAGATTCATAACCTCATCAACTGATTTACCATCCTTTCCTAATACCCTGCGTCTAACCTCACTATTACTTACCCGGTTAACCCAGCAGACGCCAGCAATATTTCTAAGGCATCTGTGGTCAAATACTAATAGCTTACGAGTGTCTTCTACTCTTAATGGCCATGTTTCGCTGCCGTAAAGTAATACAGAACGGACTGCTGCGCAGTATACTCGTCCTTTTATTGGTAGACGGATATCTCGCCTTCGCCAAAGGTGATGTAAGTTGGCAAAAGCCAAACGAGCTTTTCGAATCCGTGCTGAGATTTCGTCCGATACCAACCCATTAGGGCTGATCAGACTTCCAAGATAAGTGAAGTTGTCAACGCGTTCGACTACTTCACTCCCTATCCTTAGTTCAGGTGTTAACGCAGACCAGTCCTGAAGCAACAACTTGCATTTAGAGGGAGAGAAGCGCATTCCAAACATCCTGGCATTGTTGCTCAGTGCTACCAGAAGACTCTGCATTTTGTCAGCGTCTTCACCAAACAGGACTATGTCATCTGCGTATTCTAAGTCGATAAGTGGACCTCCTGGAAGGAGATCAATACCCGAGAACTCAGTCGATGAGAAAGTTATTTCCATCAGTAGATCTATGATGAAGTTAAACAAAAATGGGGAAAGTGGACATCCTTGACGGACACCACTTGAGGTTGCAAAAGTAGATGACAGTTCGCCATAAGCTCTCACTCGACTAGTGGTGTTCGAGTAAAGAGCCTTTACAAGGTTTATGTACTTCTGGGGTACGCCTTTCAATGACAGACACTGCCACAGAACCTCGCGGTCTACCGAGTCAAATGCTGCTTTTAAGTCAAGAAAGACCACCATTGTCGGACGTCGATAAGTATACCTGTGTTCTAGAACCTGACGAATTTTGAATATGTGGTCGATGTCCATCGAGATAGGCGGTGGTCAGGCATGCGTAACAGATGTCTTATTGACTGATTATCAAATTAAGCAATTTCAAGCTTGTCTAATCCTAATCAATGTGTTGGTGGCATCTTATCCATTGAGCTCTAGTGAGTTACTAATATTCAATCAACTTAACTATCGATTGCACATTTTGATGTTTAGAGTGTTCCTCAATACATCACTTAATGAACATCAGTAAATGGTATTTCGGATAGTGGGATAAATAGAACTATCAGAGATAATAATCTTAAGTGAAACCATTTTTTAAAATACTCCATACAAAAATGTCGGACACGATGTACATTGTTCAAAATAACAATAAAATTCAATAACCTCAGCGAAATGAGAATAACTAACTTACTGTGTAAACACTATTGCCCAAGACTAATAAACTTGAGGTTTGACCATTTGCATAGACAGTACCTTAAATAGGAAAGACAAAAAGTGTACTCGTGTGTGTAATATGATTTAATAGTTGAATCAATTAAAGCTCGACCACCATGGAAAACCTGGAAGCACTGTACGGCCATTTCGTCCCAGTATGGAAATACTCAGCCCGTGGGATTCGAACCGAGAACCTATCGAATTTCTATCCTTCATACACTCACGCACGACAAACAAATAGACAAAGATAAGATAACATAAAATTTGTCACCACGGAGTGAATGAAAGGAACAAGGCATTGGAAACTGTCAAACAAAATTTTATTACTATAAGCAATTGCTTTAGATTATTCATGGCTGAATTTTAATCAATTTTTGTTGGCATATATGCATACTGTGTGGATTGTCTAGAAATTGGCACTTTTCAAGATTTCTTAAGAATAGATGGATCGCAGACAACAGCGGGATCCACTGCGTGGATAACGCGTTGGAAGCAAAATTTATTACGTACAAGTCCTAATGTGAACATCAACACTTGGATCCAAGCATATCTGGCTGATGAGTTTTAAACTAGGGGGAAGCGTGTCATATTAACTGATTCATTCAATTTAATTTATCTTTTTAAAGTGGCGATTATTAGCATCTGCAATCATAAGAAAGATTAAAGCCAGCGATGGAATTGAATGTCACGACAGTTGATAATACTTGTCTCAATTGAGGGATAGTGATACTCTACCCAATTACAATTACGCATTGGAACATTTTGTGCATCCATTTGAAATGAGACAATTTTCAATAAAATGTAAATCAATCTGTACTTCACGAGCTTTAGTTAGGCGTCAACATATTATTGAACCTAATATTTTATATACTATAATTTATTATTATTTATTTTAACACATAGATATTGGTACAAGGAGGAAACAAATACATATGCGCAACACAAATCTCATTCGATATATGTAAGGGCTGTGATACTGCCCGGGTGCACAAACCGAAGCATGTGGTTTTCTTAGGCGGCCACACACCGAGCCTTCGACCTGAAGGTCTGATCCACATGGGTATTTGGGGGCTAAGACCTTCAGTTAATCTCGCTGCTAATACTTAAAATATCAGAGGTAAACCTGTCATGCTCCACGCTTCAGATTTCCTATAGCTTTTTCAACTCCGTAAGGAGTTTGAGGACTTACATCAACTTGCCATTCAGGTTGATTGAAAATCGTGCGAAACCGAAGTGTGGCTGAAGGCCATTGGAACTGATCCCTAAAGTGTTCTGCCCATCGATCAAATCTCCTGCATTGAGTGAATAATACGTTAATCTTTTCTTGAGATAGTTTCTCTAACGGTAGGATCCCTATACAGGTATCCTTGCAAGTCTCAACAGTTGTCTGATGTTGTCTACTGCTACTGCCTTTTCCATCTCTTATGCTTTCTCTACCCACCGCTACCCACGATCACTAGGTAGACTTCCTATCAGCCTGCGCGTAAACTGACTCCGCTCTAAGTCATGTTTAGAGCCAGATAGGATAAGTCTTCGAGCATCTATCAGTGCGGTAGATGCTACTGAGATCCAGTATTTCTCCCTAACCATATGGTTTACCTTACTAATAGATATCACTGATGTATCCACAGCTTTCCGTATATCATTCCAAGCTGTCTTGGGGTGGGCATCACTTACATGGCTGCCTAACTGTTTTTCTATTTGTTCCTGAAATGTATTCTTAGCTTGACTATCATTAAGTAGGATCCTAAGAAGTATCTTTACAGTGTACTTACTACGTCCAGTAAGACACAGACAAATACGTGCTCGCACTAGAGCATGATCTGAATCTAAGCATGTGCTCCAGAACAAGAGACAGTCTTCTACCGAGCCCCTCCATCAGTGGTTGATAGCGATGTGATCTATTTGAGTCCAACGTCGGGACGAATTAGGGGGTCGCCATGTCAAAAGATGTCTTTCTTTATGTTTCAAGTTAGAATTTGCTAGAAACAAGCAGTTATCTGAGCATAGATGCGACAGACGGTCGCCATTATCTGTTCTATGAGCCACATCACCCACCCAGGTGTCATTCCTTTCCGATCAGTTTACCTACATGAGCATCAAAGTCACTAGCCACTATTACTACATCAGAGCGCTTAGCTTTTCGTAGAACGTCGGAAAGCTTTCTGTAAAACTCATCTTTTGCATCACATCTGAGCTGCAGTGAGTAGGAGAATAGGCAAAGACGACGAAGAGGCAACGATGAGTGTCCCTATCATTCCGAGTGCTTACTGTTCCCTTTGGTCGAATAGCGCACAAACGACTGTCTATTGGGACCCAGTCTAAGAGAGCTAGTTCTGCCTTAGGGCTCAATGCTATACCTACATCAGCGAGGCCGCGGGAAGCAGTATCATGGCTTGCAGACACACGATGCGTGAATCGAGTTGTTTCTTTATTTTGATATGGTGAGGTCAAGTGAATGACGCTACAGGATCCTATATGCGCGTTTCGGAGAAGCAGCACACAATGATGGCACGATATTCTAAAGTCCTAGCTAAGGAAGTCTGTTCTCCTACTTGGCATAGTGTTGGGACGTTAAAAAAAGTGCCAAAGAAACACAATAACCCTGTACATGCTTTCTAGATAGAAATGTCTGATCAAGTCATAGCTTATGGCGAAATGTCTTTGGAATCGGTTACACAACTCAGAACCATATATGGAGAAATTCGAACAATCCACTTCTGCCTGAAGGAACATAAGTTCCAGCCAATATAGCTCTCGTTGGGTCATCACGATAGGCAAGCACGACCACCACGTCAAAGTAGTACTACGGTTGTGCTTATACCAAATCAACGTATACTGCTTGTCCCACTTCAAATAACAAGTTCCCCACGATTCAAATTCTTTCTATGTTAACCATAGCGTGTTGATATGTATTATGTCTAAACGGCCGTTAACGATTTCAAAGAGAACTTTGTTATATTAGAGTAGCTAAAACATTTGAAGTGTAACATATTCGAAACCTTACACTATCAACTTCTTGTGTAAATTGTCAGGTTTTCTTAATTTCACGCTCGTGTAAATTCCGATTGCTGTCGATTGCTTTCGTTTTTACATCCCAGTACACTCTATGTGCTTACTGAGTAGTCAGCTCACTTTTCATCTTGTATCTATTTCTTCCGGATAAACTCACTCACTACTCCTAACACTGTACTAGTAGACAAGTTACCTACAGGCCAAATGCAAAACTACCAAAGGATGTACATTAGAGTTCCTATAACAGTAAATATCGTAGCCCCGTACTAAACATCAACAACAGCATAAATTTATTAGGCATCGTAATAGGCTTTGTCGGTACTTAAATCAAATTAGGTGCCGTACCAAAACTTGTCCATAAAATAAGATCATTCACAACCGTAGACGCTGCATTGGCGAGGTGGTTGGGATTGCCTATCATGATGAATCAACCGAGCTATATTAACTGGGACACATATTCCTTTGGATCCTCCCGTGTTAGGAAGGTCTGTTGGGGAACGATGAGAGCGAAGTCGTACAGCTGATCACTAAGGTGTGATTTAAGCAAGACGCATCTCATAGGAAACCAGCACCTGCAGTGATGCAGCCTTCTAACAACGCCAAGAAGGGGTTAGAAAACGTCAGCCCTAAAGATGTCACCATCACTTTACCCTATGGAGAAATTCGAACACTTCACTTCTACCTGAAGTTTGTGCTGATGATGTTGTTCAGAAGAATGATGAAAGCTCCACAACCAAACCATCCAGCTCAGGGAACAAAGCTCCATCAACAACTCAGAATAGTTTACAAAGGCGTCGGTGCATTCATTCTTTGTCTTGCTTTAGAACCTGAGTCCTGAAATCGATTTATACCCTTTGTTTTTTTTACCTAATCTTTTCTACTGCTACATTTTGCATTGTATATGAGTAATTGACTTATTTTACGTGATTTCCTTCTCCCTGTTTTTTTCTTCGTATCATTTAGGATTCTGCTGTTTATGGATGCCAAACGTGTTACATCACTTATTGATTACTGAATAATAATAATTCAAGCTCTGAGCGAAACAAATACAATTCATTTTTTTGCGAGATCATTTTTCAATGTTATTGACGGTTTCGTTGACTCACACTAACTACTCTGGTCACGACTTCTTACTAGACTTCCCTTAAAAATCAACCAAATATAAACAATATTATAAAATACAAATTTTGATTTTCGGAATTACGTACCTACAGAGAAAGCCAATAATGGAATCCAAAATAGGAGGGCTGAATGATAAATTGAATTGAGAATCCAACAGAAGAAAACCTGAAATTTTAATGACGAAATGATAACACATTATATTAGTTGCTTGAAATTACTTTACGAAGTATCGAGATACGATTCAGTCACCCAAGTATTGTTGTTACAGTAACTGTTGAGAACAAAGTGTGGAAATCGCAGTTCGAACCCAATGATTGTAATTAAAGTGTTCCAGCTTCGAAGCCAAATTCCTAATTTGTATTAGTGATTAGAAATTCAGCCGATCTTTTAATGTGATGTACTATCGCACATATGGTGCTTAGAATCTCCTAATAAACGAAAAAGAGGGCTTCGCAATTAAATCACCCAACACATTGAACTGGACAATAATAAAAAAGATTTCATTATCTCGTTCTTTCACCCCATAACACTAGGCGCAGCAAGCGAGTTGAATTTGTTACCGAGCACATAACAAAAGTCAAGGACCGCAAACACAACAAAATCAGGCTGGCTTCAGACCTGGAGATGATTGCATCGACCACATATGCACCATTCGTCAGGTTCTAGAACACAGGCATCCTTATCGGCGTCCGACGATGGTGGTCTTCCTTGACTTAAAAGCAGGATTTGACTCCGTAGACCGCGAGATCCTGTGGCAGCGTCTGTCATTGAAAGGCGTACGTATGCCTGAACACTTATTACCACGAAGCGCAATGTTGACTAGTGTTGGGGTTGGTTGGGAGAAAGTTAGGGGCGGCCAAACCAGAACGTGGCATCACTCCATAAAGTCCCTAACTTTTGATCTGAGCCATATTGCCATTCGATTCGTGAACAAGATGACTTCGGGTGCCGATAAAGTTATGACGATGTATGGCGACTATGAACGATGTGTATATGTACCTGGTCCTGCGTTGTAGGTGTAACTGCCTGAGTAAAGGGATTTAAATAAACATCATCTGATCACGATTATTAAATAAATACTAGATAACCGTAGATCTCACTAAGATTTTCATGATCAGATATTTTCTCTACACATTCAAGTTGCTGCTGCTATTCTAAGGACGATTTTATTGATTGTGTTTTGGTTAAACGATAACTATCTTCATAAATTTGGTTATTCAGTTGTGTATCGAAGATGAAATGCAACTCATACCAACTAAGTTATAAACACTGATCATCATCACGTGATAATGTTTTGATAGAGAGAAATAGCTGAAAGGAGATAGTGAGTATCGATTGTAATGTGTACTTTATTTAATGTATGCTTGAAGGTCAACGATAATTTGTTCCAGGTTTTAACGATTATACCTTGAATTGAGAAAAATTAATCTTACAGTAATGCTAGATTTTGTATGATCGTGGAAGATCTGATTAGAAATGGCGTCAACTGGAGAGCATAGTTAAAAATTAAGTAGAATTAGACACTCGTTTACCCCTAGTATGATACTTTTCAGTAGTAGACATGGAATATTTATCTTTCAAAAAAAAACAACCCTCAACGGATGTGAGCAAAAGCCCTACAGATATAGTTAATATTTCAAATTGTAAATACAGGAACACAATACATTCCGACATTAGAATTCACAACAGTACGTACATAGAAAAACACTAATCACACATGAATTTTAAATATTACTCATTAATAAGTTCATTCACAAGATACGTATTAGCTACACTCCAAGTGTGACGGCTGAAGATACTACCATGTTGCTCAGAACGAAATAGATAGAGCGCGGTTCGAGCCCGGAAGTTCAAATGCTTCAACCACCATAAAACCATATATGGAATATGATAATTAACAAAGACTTACTTTCGGATTAAACGAAGCTGATGCTTGAGTATCTTTGTACAATTCTGGATATTTTAGACAATTATTAACACTACAACTTCGATCAAATAGTCCTAACGCCATTGGTGGTGCTGCAGTGAATATCTACGTGTTTACAACAAGACAAACAATGAAAGGATGTAAATATAAACATGATAACAAAGAAAAATTAAATGATTAATGATATTCGGGATGTAAATTATGGACTGAAACTATGAGTGATATTGGTTTGAACGCCATAGAAGGTATCAATTTCCTTAAGATTGCAGGTACGGTTTGCTGGCGCATGTGTCAATTAATATTGAATCCGAATTAATACAGAGCTCCCCATAGACTACCTTCAACCAACTAACATCAAAAGATAGTTTATGTGATGACAGGGAACTTAAAATAGCAGCCATAATGCAACTTGATTGAAAGAATCCAACTAGTATTAAAAGGATTAGACAAAAATAACATCAAGTACCATTACTCAGTGATCATCAAATATAGGAAAGGAGAGTCGATGATCCGGAGTAAAAAATGGTACATGCGATATAATTCTTTCATTCATTGAAGATAAATTTATGCAGTTCAGTACAGTATGCAGTAATGTACTTGGTAGACTTAGCTATAAACTACATTCAGAACCTTCAACGGTTTATACAGACAACCCATATCACACAAAATAATTGATCGCTCGTAATAGTTGGCAGAGTAACATTAAATTTATGCTGAAAGTATGTAATATATTTTTAAATTATGGTTAACTCATTCATCAGATACTTGGATATGATACATACCCTAAGTATGAGGGCTAATCAAACTACTACCTCGTGACCAATCCGAAGTCGGAGAGGTAGAACTCGAGCCAAGGAATTGGTGATTGGAAGTTGAACGCTTTAAGTATTAAGCCACTGTCACAAAATATCATACTGATAGCGATATATAATGACTAGAACTGACCGCTCATTTTATTCGGGTATCATACATTACAATGATAATGAACATGAAAGCAAGACTGACAATCTTCAAAATTATTAATTAACTTTTTCCTCTAAACATCTATCGACTTTCATTAGTTTTCCATGGTGGTCTAGTTTCAATTGACTCCTGATCTCAACTATTAAAATTATAATATCCACAAAACCCCCTCTGATATTAATCAACAACATAGCTTCAAATGACTCATGATCTCAACTATTAAAATTTACACATTTATGATATCCCAATGAGTAGAAAAATTAAAATATGAGACGCTTCACGATTTACTTCGAGTCACTTTTATATGGAACGAATAAATAACCGAGCTATGTTAACGCGAGTTTAAAATAGTACCCTTGTGTTGTGTTCATTTAATCCAGTTATTCATTTATATTCTTTGGAAAAATGACTTAAACTAAATCGTGAAACGTCAGAAATGCTACCTTTTACTCATAGGGTTTCAACAAAAATAAATCATTATTAACAGTCAACGTAATTCTAAATTCATATCTTAATAGCGATAGGTATTGTTTTAGGAGTTCTTCAATTGACTAATTAAATCTGTTAGTCGTATGAATTTAAGCGCTTTTATTAAATTTATTTGCAACCTATTACAAATCGAATTATTGAGAAACAATACCATCATAATGATTTGTATATTTCCTTCTTTCTTTGTCTTTAAAACAAACGAAAAGCGATTATTATAAAATTCACACATCAAATATATTAGATGATGAAAAAAGATATTAAGGGAATAAAACTAATCGTTAACATGCACAGAGGAATATAAATGGCAACAGAACGAAGAATTTCGATAAATGTACATATCTTAATTATTTATAAATTATTTGCTTATAGAACAGGAATTTTATTGTGAAATTAAATATTTTGGGCTTTTGAAGTAAGCAACAAATGAAGACAACCAATCAGAACCAAAGGCAATGAAACACAATGATATGGCACTTTTAGAATAACTGGAAACCACACTTCTGTAAGAACTAGGAATTGAAGATGTTGTTCCCCAGAATAACAATGAAGGCATCCAAGTATTATCTTATTTACCAACAAAGTAAACTACAATAATCTACTTTATACTTTATCTTAAGACGACAATACACAAGTTAAGACAGATGAAATTATCGGATTGATCAAAAAGCTCATCTCAAATGAACAGATGAATTTTCTTTAAAAAGAAACTAAAAACAGCTGTCAACTAGTGCCAAGATACTGGCATTGCTTCAAAAAAATTTACACATGTTAGTGATCATAATGAAAACTTAGAAATCTGTATGATACTTACGTATCATCATCGATTCACAATAAAAATTGATATTTTCCAGTACATGATTACAAAAGGCCGTTGTGTTGTACACTCTACCTTTCGCATCAAAGGTGTTTTAGGGACATTGGTTCGATTTGTGTTATATAAACAATATGCATATCTACTAGGTTCTATGTTACTTATGTCTGACTAACACTGTTGAAGGGTCTATCCTCATACGAAATAATTGCCCAGTACCCTCTGGTTGCTATCGTAAAATTTACTGGGTGCATGTAAACTGTTACTTGAAACGAAAAATCCCAACAAGATAAAAAAAATGTATTATCAATACAGCTTATCAACCCACTTACCACATTATATAAACCAATACTCCATCGTTCAAACACAATTTGACCAGAAAATCCACTTAGAATGGCAAACCAAAATTGTATTAAATAAAGGCAAACATTCTTATAAAACGAATAAAGTATTAATTTAGTCAATCGATTATAATTCCATGCACCATGTACTAATAGTAATTTATTTAGGAAACGAAATTGGGCTATTGCATAATCCGATGCACATGCTGCCTGTCTGCCTTCCATGCCACTTATCCCAACACCTACATGAGCTGCCTACAAAAAATAAAGACGGATATCAGGATCAGAAATGAAATAACATGAGAATTTATGCAATCATCGAAAAAACAGTAGGTTTGCTGAAGATTTGTTTTGCAATGTACGAACTGTCGTCAACTAGGGAAGTATTGTTGGTATTTTAGTGAGGCCCGTAATTTTGTCGTTGTTTAGATCAAACGATGTCGAAAGGGCTCTCCACTTCAGTGGCCCGTTGATCTGACTCCAATTAGATCGTATGAATATTAGATATCACCTATCTTCGTATATAATCATCGACTTTAATCGCTTTAGTAAATAACGGATTTAGATAAGTCAATTAACGAGGATGGCAATTGAATACATATATTTTGTATGTAAATTGAATGCGATAGAACAAAGGAAAAAAGATATATTATGGTATTGAGATAATGATTGACACTACAATATAAATAATATGATTAAACAATGTCGGATCGATATAAATTGATAACATTCACCAAGACTTCTATAATATTTCACTACAAAATATGAACTACGTTGTTGACATTCAAGCGTCCAAAATCTTAACCGATGATGTGCTTCACGAATGGGAAGATTCACCTTAAGTTGAAGTTGAGATAAACTAACAAATCTTCGTCACGCTACAGTTATCACAAACTTCCTTGTTCCATAGACAGAATAAATACAACATAGCAAGTAGATAACTTCTAATCACAGTTTAATTTTATGACGCAACTCAGACGATGTATGCCTGAACACTTATTACCACGAAGCGCAAGTTAGTGGCGACCTAGGGTGTAAGCAGCTGTCGGGTTGCAGTTTTCATAAGCTCGCTTGCTCGTTAGACAGAATAAATGCAACATAGCAAGTAGTTAACTTCTAATCATAGTTCAATTTTATGACGCAACTCAGACGGCGTATGCCTGAACACTTATTACCACGAAGCGCAATGTTGACTAGTGTTGGGGTTGGTTGGGAGAAAGTTAGGGGCGGCCAAACCAGAACGTGGCATCACTCCATAAAGTCCCTAACTTTTGATCTGAGCCATATTGGCAGTTACAGACTACTTGTTTGAGATCCGCGCCACCATTGTAACCAATGGTTGGAGATTCTGGCTGACACGGCTTAGAGTCGGCCACAATGGCGTAGATGCATACACTCTGTCTTTCCTTAAACTGTGAAATTAAAATTACTTTATATCTTATTTTCTACGAACTGACTCTTGCTCCTTGTATCATATCTTTATATGAAATCTTTTTTTAGTACCATTGAAGTAACTGCTTCTATGAATTTGATATTCGTCTTGTTGTGCTACTGAGGTCTAGCAACTTCGACCGATGCATATATGTGCCTAGTCATAAGTTGTAGCTGTCTGACTGAACAGATACAGTTAATAAATATCATATGTGACCTTCAACGGCTTAAGTCGATTTATATGTACTTACAAAATACACGTACGTTAGATGGTTAGAAAGATGGGTGTCTATAAGTTTTGTTGAACATATCGCAAAGAACCTGTGACTCCGAGGACTAAGTTCTGCTTAGTTAATTATACAGCACTACATCTAATGGAGGCCGATACATAAAGTAGATGCAATGAACGTATTCAAAATAATCGAGAAATAATTCAATTTAACACTGTTAAGATTTTTTGACGTCACAACAATTGTGGCTGCCAAGATGAAACTAAAGTCCAAGTAGCACTGTGCAACTGAAGAAACAGCATTACTAAGGTTTAATAGAGTCATCCTTCAAGATACTGACAAGCATGACGAATTCAAGATCGCCCTCAGCAGCAGGTTCTAAACCTTACAAGATCTACTCAAAGATGAAACTACTATGGAGAACAACTAGGAAGGGATCAAAGAATAACTAGCTTAAACGTGTCGGAAGGTTCTGGGCCTGAAGAAGCATCATCATAACGAATGGATCTTCATTGAAACCGTGGGCAGAATTCACGCAAGGAAAACCAAGAAGACAGCAGTCGAACAAGAGCAGAGAAAGCCAAGGTACAGATCGAATACACGGAAGTAAACAAGCAAGTGAAGAAGAACATTGAGGCCGACAAGCGGAAATACGTGCAAGATATAGCAATGACAGCAGAAAAAGCTGCAAGAGAAAGAAATATGAGAAAACCATGTGACACAACGAAACAGCTGGCAGGAAAATAAGGTAAGTTAGAGAGACCAGTTAAAGACAAAGAAGACAAGGCAATCACTGAGGTTCAGGAAAAGAGCAAAAGATAGATAGAACTCTTCGAAGAACTCACCGGACATCGGAGCAACAACACACAGACCTTCGTGTAGATGTCACTCCACCAAAGACCGAACAAATCAACATGGTCATCAGACAAACCAAGAGTTGGGAAGCAGCACGACCTGACAGTATACCAGCTGAAGCACTGAAGTCAGGCATAGAAGTGACTGAAAACATGCTCCACATTCTATCAAGGAAGATTCGAGAGGAAGAACAAGTGCCTCGGACTGGGAAGAAGGACACGTCACAAAGATACCGAAGAAAGATCTCAGCATGTGTGGGAAATACAGAGACATCACAGCACTACCGATACAAAGAAACGTTTTCAACAGAATATTGTTAAACAGAGTGCAAGATTCATTAGCACGATCAACTTGGAGATCGATAGGACATACACAAACCGAATCTCGATGCCACAGATCGTTGTTGAGCAATCAACTGAACGGAATTCGGCACTGTACATCAAACTCCTTGACTATGAGAAAGCACTTCACAGTGTGGATAGGAGGACCTCATATAAACCTCTTCGATATCGTGATTACCTGAGATGATAGTCAACGTCATACGACTGGCTACATAAAAGGGTGGTGCATGGAGGACAGCTGACAGATGCATTCAAAGGGACAACCGGTATCAGACAAGGCTGTCTGCTCTCCCCCTTACTCTTTATTCTGTTGGTCTATTGGCTTGCAAAGACCTTCACATCTAAGGGGAAAACGGAATACAATGAACAGATTGGGTGCAACTAGACTATTTGGACTTCTCATATCACCAAGCTCTTCTAATCCCATACACACCAAGACTCTGAAATATAACACAGATAGCACTAACCTAATCATATTTGATGGAGAAGCTCTGGAAGAGGTGAAAGTTTTCACGTGTCTGGGCAGCATCATCGATAAACAAGGAAGATCTGATGCTGATGTGAAGGCAAGGATCGGCAAATCAAGGACAGTCTTCATACGGTTGAAGAACAAATGGAACTCAAAGCAACTCAACAAACATCAAAGCCAGCATCTCCAATACGAATATCAAGTCAGTTCTACAGTGCGGAGCTTAAATCTGAACAACCACTACAACTATCAGCAAAAACGTTTGAGTAACATGTGTAAGTATGAAAGTAACTATTTATTATGCTCCGATAAGCATAATGAATGGTAACTTTTGGGGTCCATTTATGGACCAATACTATGCTCATATTTTCATGGCATAATTATTAAATAACTAAACTATTCATATTCACATCCCTCTTATTACGAGCCTTATTTTGACCTATGAACTATTATACGATTTATCATTCTTGAATTATGCCCTGTCTATTAATTACTACCTCCCACATTCACAGCCACATCTGGCCAAATCTTGTAAAAATGTTGTTTCCTATTTCATGGTATAATGTGGTCTGTCTGGTTGGTATATAAACCGATTATGATTGAAATAAATGATTCATATTGCAGAGGCTGAGAGTAGTGTTCTGGACTTAACTGGCTGGGCTACGCAGGAAGCAGGACCAATAAGGACTCTAGATTGCTCGTACATGTTTTGTGCGTCAATGATCCGATCGATATTTCACTGCTCTCTAATTGGAGGTATCATTACGTTATACATTAACAGGGCACACAGACCAGAAGTTATAACACCATCCACAGCCACTTCTGGCTGGTTTGGAGCGGGTAGTTGCTTAGTTTAAACACAAGGCTGGATATAGTAAGAAGCTAGTTAATAGAGTACCAATAGTAGCTTATTCGCCGACTCAAAGTTAATGGTGCTGATCGGGCGTGCAATTGGTCAAGTCAGAAACACTATGCTATGGGTAGATAACAGACCAATTTATAAGATACTGACTACTGAATAAATTCGTTATATTGGTCAGTGAGTCATAAGGTATAATATAAACTAAGGGCCAATGTAATACTATCACAAAACTTACTTGTATCATTCCAACATCATTCGCTCCATCGCCTATAGCCAGAGTGACTGCATCTTTAATTGATTGACGAACCAATTTTACCAACTGTGCTTTTTGCCATGGACTAACTCTACAACGAAATATGTTTTAAAAATAAAATAATATGAAATGGTTTGAGATACAATGGTGTTTTAAATACACTTTATCAACAGCAACATAACAGAAATGTAAGGTCTAAAAGGTAGATTTGTGTGTTTCGTTGTCTAGTCCATGGATTGATAGATCAACCATATATATATATATATATATATATATATATATATATATATATATATATATATATATATATATATATATATATATATATATTATAATGTTAATTACGTTTACATAATGAGATGATAAACTAAGGTGGATAAATCTTAACTCAATGAACGACTACATTTTTCGTTGTTAAATTTAAAATACATCTAGAAGTTTCTACTATTTCTACGATTACACGTTTGATGGATGCGAAATATCGTGAAATTGGACCCCTGTTCCGTGGTCTAGAGGTTAGGCATTCGCACAGGAGCGAAGTTCATGTGTCTGAGTCCCGCATGCGGGATCGTGGACGACCACTGATGTGGAGTCCCACACTAGAACGAAACGACTGTACAGTCCTTCCATGTCTTTATTGGTGGTCTGATATATTTAGCTACTCACTATAACCCTGGATGTCCCAGTTCTGTAAGTGTTGTTATTCACAATAAAAAAAAATGCAAAATTGCATTCAGCTCAAGCTACATAAGCTAAATGGGGAACGAATCAATATGGTTGCTGTCAAAAGCAAACATCGTAGATGCAGTTCACGAAGAACAGATAAACTCAGCGAAACGTGTGTAAAACCAAACTAAGTAACGCCGGCTTAGCTAGAGTAAAAAATTCTAACAATATGCAGCTAAAGGAGTCGAGAGGAATAAACTACAGATGTGTTAATGGAGGGGTTTTGTCATGATTAGAAGTATTCGAATTGTTGTATTAACTAGGCATTCCCGAAACAGTGCAATTTAAGCTAAACAGAACTAGGTTAGCACCAACGAACATATCGTGTTAAGAATTCGAAATCAAGAACACATCAAGTACAGGAGTTAGATAGGCGACGAAAAGGAATAAACTGGCTATGTAAACAATGACCATTTAGGTGTTCTTGAAAATAAGCCGTTCTACCAAGACTTTTCGAATTCATCTGTTTATTAGAAACCGTCAATGTTTTCATGATAGCAGGTTTCTGAGTGTTGCTTGACAATGTCTATTTATTATCTACGAAAATGCTAAGCTTTGCGGTTAGTAATCTACTCATTGCTATAAAACAGCACTAATTTTCGAGTTGTATAGGTTTCCGGTGATAATACTGTGTGACTTCGGAACGTTATCTCCGGGAATAGTTTATCTGGAGATTACATTTCTAGTTACTTTGTGCACCACTTTCCCATGGCTATTCATTTGAACTGCTTTCACATTCCCAAGCTGTTATCGGTTGAATGGTGGTTGTAAAATGCGATCGATAGACGAACCCACCAATAATAAGGAAAAAACGCCCACCACCACATTAACTCTTTTTGACCTTGTACGACTGTATCTCTTTATTAACCAATCAGTTTGATGTTCATTGTAAAACAATGTTTGCTTGTTGACTCAATTTTCCTATTCTCTGGCTACTTTTCGGTATGTTATTTGACTCTGTTTTTCCCTGTATTAATGGACCGTACTGTTTGTTTGTACACTAACGATGTTAATTTATGTTTTAGAAACAGATAAAGTTTATCTAGCCAAATAGCTTGCTTGTTCTGACTTTGGCTAAACCAAGACTCTGTATTCGACAGTCTAGAGATTAGCTCAGAGTTGAGTCTGTAGGAAATTGCTTCCTACGGTGGTTTTCATTTTAAAAACTATTATTATAATTACGATTTATGATTATGATCACTTGCCTGCAACATATAACCGATTTACAGGATAAAGCAACGTCCAAAAACTGTTCTCTGCATTCACATAATAACGCAAACTCTAGTGTCTGAAAGTGTTAATGCGTAATGCATTCGAAATAAAATAAAGAAATAAAATTATTTATATAAACAAGCAACACTCGTTTATCGATCAAATCGACCAGAACGTTATGCTTCTCTGTCTATCGTTGAACAGGAAATAGACTTTTTCAGAAAGGTGGAATTAATGAACCAGTAAATTTTTATAAATGAGCAGCAACGATTGTAATTGCCATGAAGCCTAATGGAATCATCGGATTATGTGCCGAATACTTGAATGAAGCACTAGAAGCCAACTCGTCTGCACTAACCTTACCCGAACCTGAATGGGGGGAATTAATTTCAAAAGTTAAACTTATAAGAAGCATGTTGCAGATCCTAGTGATCGAAGACTAAACATGACCTGATAATAAACGTCCATAAACAACTATTGCGGTATAATCGACTATCTTATAGAGTAAAGAAACCGTCATCTACGTTTCAACACGTCATGGACACTATGCTACAAAAAAACACGCGGCATCGAGGCCTATCTGGACGATATACTTATTATATGGATAGACCGAAAGGTGGATATGGTGTTCACATGCATAACATCGGATCCCAGTTACGTGCTGAGAGGTGCGAATCCCAAATCGAAGAAGTACGTTATCTGGGCTTTATAATGGATAAAAACCGAAGATCAGATACTGAAAACATCGACACTCTTAAGATCATGTCTAATCTGACTGATCTTTCTTCGGAAGTCAGACACTATGGAATCTTCTTTCCTAGACCTCCTTCACATACGTGCGCCACTAAATCATCTACTGATAAAGAATAGCAGATGGAATTAGTCGATTGATTGTCAAATAGTCTTTATGAGAATAAAACAGATGTCAGACTTTCCCCTTATGTATAACAACCCAGCCCTACCACATGTGGTTGCTTACAGAGCTTCAAGCTAAGAAAACAGGATAATTAATTTCATACGCCTACTAAATCAGAGAAAGATACTGCTCGTGCCATAAAATCGCTGACAGTGACAGAAAGAAATAAAGAAAAAGGAGCTCTAACAATTATTTTGCCATGAAAAAGTGTCACAAAATGTTGCCTTGTCATCAGTTCACGACTTAAACAAGCCACAAACCACTAACCAAAGTTTTCATATCTAAGAAGGCCGTTCCAGTACATACTCCAAAGAGTCTGCAAGGTTGGTGAACCACACAGTTGAGCTACGATTTGAAAACAAAGTACCGACCAACGAATAAATCTAGACAAGCGGAGGCTCTGTCAAGATTAATCCCATTCAAAACCAGAAGGTGGCAGCTGTAGAAGGTGAAGCTAAAGTTTATGGAGCATTAACGGATGTGATTTCTAGATTACAGGCAACTTTTCAAGCCATCAAAGAAGCCACCGAGAAGAGTAGTATCTTGTAAGACGTACAGCGTGATCTCCTGACTAAATAGCCAACATCAAAGTTCCACAGGAAACTAGTACAGTATTGTCAGTGGCGAGGTTCAATAATAATAATTGACTTATGCGTCATGATTGGTCACTGCATCGTAGTACCAGGAATCCTCCCGCGTCAATTCTCGAAACAGTTTTACAATAGTATTTCGGGAATCATTAAAGTCATTAACACGAAGCTATGCATATCGGCAGTCAATGCCTACAAACCGCTAAAAATCTTGCAAAATGTAAATTACTACCTTGACCGAAACCGGATAATTCCTAACAAAAAATGTATGCTGATTTCGCTGACTCCATATACGACAAAAATTATTTGGTCATCGTGCACGCCTTTACCAACTGATCGGTCGTTTACGCTATGCCGACCCTGACAGTGGAAGCAACACCATCGGGCTAGTTCATCCTTTTCAAGATACCGGAGATCTTATGGTACATAATTGAGATCGTTGACATTTGAGAAGTTTTATAACGGAAATGGAATTATACATTTATGACCGCCATCATTGCACACACAGTCCAACGGGAAAGCTGAAAATTTTGTAGATACATTTGAAATGTGTCAAATAAAGGGAAGAGGTAATGAAATACCGACGCAGGTAGCATCTTATCGAGGTACTCCTCGTCCTTCCATGTTGGAAGAGAAGTTCTCCAACTGAGTACATGTTCAGGAGAAAAATTCGAACTATTTTCAACAGCATGTTGCTACCCAGACGAATAGACAGGTCTAAAAACGAGCCTACGCGCAGCTTTTATATGGGAGAAAGGGTACTAATTAGATCATTCAAGGTAAAAACAAACGCGAAGCTGGAATAGCCGAATGAAGAATCGGTAAAGTATAGTATTGGTTCAGGGAAGTGGTAGCACGTACAGAAGACATGTAAATCAGATGCGCAGGGATGAAAGGACAGTTATCATACAAGACGGACTTTCATTTGACATACTGATGAACACTTTTCAAAGAAGCACTAATGAGCAAGGAAACAGAAAGAAACACAAGGTCAAAAGAACTCAACCACCACAACAAGTGAATATTCAACGAAATATAGTGAGAAGGTTACAAGTGAACCTCAGCAGGAAATCGAATTCTGGAAACTCCAAAAAGTGGAAGTGTTCGGACGGTGTCAAGAAAGCGCGATGTAGCCTATAGCTGCTTTGAAGGAGCCGAAGTGATTCTATCTGGTCACAGTCTAGAATATCGAAAAGGTATGCTGTTATAAGAACACTGTATAAAAATCTCGAGTGTGGATTGGGTGGATTAAAATCATGCTTACAGATCATACCAAAACCTATAAATATAACTTTTTTTCTGTACGTTTCGACATTTACTTCAGTAAACCCTTCTGTTTTCTTCTGCCATTTTGATTTGCGACTTCGAGAAGAGGTTCACCTCATGATAATTCTTAAGTAAGACTAATTGACTTATGTGACTTTCACTATTCAAATATGTAGGTACACCCTCAGATCGCTACTTCATTTGATAGATTTACTATTTAGTATGATGATCGAGTAATAATAATAATCGTTAAATTAATTAACAATACATACATTTATATATTTCTATGAACGAAAAAGTTAATGGAATACTCACTTCACCATCAACGATTAAAGCAAAATCATTCTCCATCCGTATTCGATCACCGAAATCTTCAATTAAATTCACTAATTGCTCACGTGTTTGATCTAACGACTTGGTATTCACAGTTAGTAAGCTTATAGATTGCGTTAACAACTGACAAGAATAGCCTATTTGGAAAAAAATAAGAATAAAGTAGGAAATGTACACAGTTGTGGGTGACAGTGATAGCTTATAATGAATAAGTTGATCGCTTAAATGGATTAGTATTATTATTACCACCATGATTAATGCTACTGTTGTTATGATTAATTACTATTCGTAATATTAATAAGACGAGCCATTCACTTGATTAATCGACTAACAATTTTCTTTCAGGGTTAGCAATTTGAAACGGACAATGACGAAGTGATTTTGGTTATTACTTCACAAAGTTTTTTTTCATTTTTATCTTTAATTATTTATTCGTGGAATTTCAAGTGAACCATGTAATAGATACTCGATTTCGGTTAAATACTTTGCACATAAGTGGTGGTATAAATTTCCTAATGTACTCCATCTTTGCACTTAGAACGTTAGCTAGTGGTTCTACTTTATAAAGCTACAAAGTGATCGTCCAATCATAACTGTTACCTTGACGTGGCGATTAGGTATGCGTATCGTCATGACATAATTGAGCTATATTAGCTAAAACGTTAGTTTCCTTAGGTTTTAATATACTAGGTAGGTCGGTAGGGGTTATAAAACATCGAACCTAAAAATGGCATATTCAACCGTCTCATGGATTTGCTTTTACAGTTGTGAAGAGTTTCGAGTACATAAGCACATAAAAAACTACTCGCTAAAAGGCCGTATGTGACCGGCTTTAAGTGGTTGTCTCTTTTGAAGTGTATGGTTAGGGTCATACGTCATCAAGAACAAATTACCACCTAAGGTCAAATCAACCATTTTACTTGTCAACTCAAATAGACCCGTCATAATAATCTTTCATCACTAAAACAACTCACATGTCCATCACATCAATGCTCAACAATGACAAAAAAAATTTTAAACTCTCTAATTAGAAGTTAATGTTCCACGGCGAACTAACTGATCTACAAACAAAAGACACGATGAAAACTTACACACACAATAAAAAAGTACTAACCAATATTGATAGCTGTTTCTTGTTTATCTCCAGTCAGAACCCAAATAGAAATACCAGCTCTCATTAAATTAGCTATAGTATGTGGTACGCCCGTTTGTAATCTATCTTCAATGGCAGTTGCTCCAAGAAGTTGAAGATTCTTTTAGATGAAAGGAAAAGAGCCGAAACACGTAAGTTCTATTAAAAAAAGAAATCTGATTAAAATGTAGAAGCGATAAATATCATGGACAAACACACGGCTAAGTACCAATTCAGGGAGAGAGATAGAGGGAGGATTATATACCCTCTTCATTGATTTCGATTAAAGACAACCGGGTAGTAACACGAGAAATCACATGAAGCGTGAATTTAAATCCATTATACAACCATATACTTGACAGATCACTGACCAGATAAACATTTATTAAATTGACTTAAAAAAACGTTATAAACGTGAATGCTAGTGATATAATGCCATGTGATTGACGGAATATATATATATATATATATATATATATATATATATATATATATTTCCAGAAAGAATAGAGTAAAATAAAGAAGAGGGCAGCAGATTAACTAACTTGTTCAATTTCATTAGCAACCGATTCTAGCTTAGCTTCACGATCGTTTAATGCTGTGCTAGCTTTGTAAAAATTTCCTACCCATTTATTATAAAATGCTGGGTCAACTTCAGTCCATGCAATGCACAATGTTCGTAGACCTGAAATATAAAAATCAAAATACAGAATTTGACAATGAAAAGTATCATATATTATACGTTGGAATAGGACATCGACAATTGTGTCAAAATACAATAGGTCTAATAAATGAACGTATATTATGAATATGAGTTGCGTATGTCCAACGACTACATATCTTGACACATGTTTGTCGGTGTAGGAGTAAGTTGGGGAAAGGTAGAAGGAAACAAACAAAAAAGAAGAAGTTAGTCTATAAATTTATCGACTATTAAAGTGGCTGAGAAGTCTCTATTGTACTAAAATATAATATTGAATAAAGCCATTATTAATTAATAACTGATTTTTGCTAGTAGATGTTAACTAGCGTGTTGGGCTGTCATCATTGTAAACAATGGTTGATGTCCAGTGGTACGACTAAAAATCAATTGCAATCGTGTAAGTGAATTCTTTCTCCATTTTTCGGAGATCTTGAGCATCAAAATTATCTTTTTGTTTCACAATTTGATTTTCTTTTCTGAAACATGATAGTACTTTTAATTGTGAAACAGAGGGTTCAGTGATTAAAGCACTAGACTTCTTATCGATTAATTTGATACTTCTCAGATCCGAACCGCGATAATCCTCTACTTACTTCGGATTGACTATTCTGGCTTCAACAGTAGTATCCATAGTTGTCACGTCTTAGACATGGCTTAAACACTTAGCTACAACAGATGATTCTGTGTACTTGGTGAATCACAATGAAATATAACGATGAATTTGGCGGATAAATGGATAGTTTATCAGAAAACAAAAAGTAAATAACCCGTAAAACAAGAACAAAACAAACTACCAGTTTTAGCGAAATTCTCCAAATGATCCATAGTTGACTCAGTAAAAAGACTAGTGCAAGCCAACCGTTCAAATATAACAGTATCCTGTAAGGTAAACGCAACAACAACAATTACAAACATTTTGAAACGTAAAGTGACAGCATTATAAGCAAAGATGGATAGTGGCTAGCAGTGGAATCCAGGACGCGCGTTTCGTCCTGTTTGGGACTCGTCAGTGACAGTGAAAGGAAAACTGATTTCAACGTTCATGTCGTTTATCTAGCAACAGTTTTACTTACACTACTCTTGATATTCAGGACTAAATACGATCAGTCCTTGTTGGCATAATTCAGAACTATTTGTCAAATCATATAAACATTATATCCGTTAAAGTTATTAGTGACTATCTAGACTCAATAGCACAATCGATAACGTACACTGAACACATTATCGATCATTACGAGACACAATATGAACACTATAATCCTAGAGGTATCTTCGTGACGTGTCCTTCTTCCCAGTCCGAGGCACTTGTTCTTCCTCTCGAATCTTCCTTGATAGAATGTGGAGCATGTTTTCAGTCACTTCTATGCCTGACTTCAGTGCTTCAGCTGGTATACTGTCAGGTCGTGCTGCTTCCCAACTCTTGGTTTGTCTGATGACCATGTTGATTTGTTCGGTCTTTGGTGGAGTGACATCTACACGAAGGTCTGTGTGTTGTTGCTCCGATGTCCGGTGAGTTCTTCGAAGAGTTCTATCTATCTTTTGCTCTTTTCCTGAACCTCAGTGATTGCCTTGTCTTCAATGATGTAGTAAGTACAAGAAAAAGGTTTTTTAATATTATAAGATCCAATGAAGAAAAGATTTAAAACCATCACTTTTTGAATACATAAACCAGGTTTTTGACGCCAGGCAGTAACGGCTTCAGAAGACTGAAGTTTGGCTGCTTACTAAACACCTCAAGGGATTGCAAGGTATCGACTTGATATCCTGTATCAAGGAGATGTTAGGTGATTGCACTGTTTAGTCTTTCTTTCTCTTGTTCTGAGGCTTTTTGGAACATCTTCAAAAATCTAAGATATTCCCTTCTTTCTGTTCGACCAGTGTATCTGCTTTGGCAGGTAGACGCAATATATATTTCTTTGATAATTTTGATCTTGATTATTACTCTGAAGAATTTATGTTATTCTGCTAGAATCGTTGTTCTTGTTATTTTCAAAAAGAAGTATTTGAATAATACTGAGCTACTGCCTACCAATAAAAACCTTTTCTTTACAAGTTGACGGGTTTCAATCGAATATAGATACAATTTTGTTGGATTAACGACTTCAGTAAAGTGGAACTGACCGGTGTAAGGCCGGAACGTACTGAGTTCGATCCATGAATAGTTTGTAAACGTACACAAAGTTGGTTAGAGAAAAATCAACAGGAAATCCTTCTTGATTTAGGTTTTGTGCTTTTTGATAAACGTCGGTAAAATTTGCGTTTCATCTTAAAGGAACTGTTGATCCTATCAAGCTTAAATATCAACACAACTTATGTGAGGTAGGGTCACTTGAACTATAGTTCGGATTGCAACTTGACTGACAAGATTCGACTACCACTAAGAAGGACTCGCCATACATGACATTGATATCTATTCAGTGACCAGTCAGTTGCAAATAAATCTCAGTTCGACAGGACGTCAATCATGGTCTGAATAAGTCAGTGGTAGTATTTGATCATAGGTGCCTTCGAAATATTGCTCGTATGTGCTGGGACCATCGAGTAAGTAATGGAGTTGTTAGGAAACGGGTACTAGGTAAGGATGGCAAATCAATTGATGACGTGGTGAAACTTCGTCAGTTGAGATGTCTGGAACACGTGTTACATGCGCCCAACCACCGTCTGCCCCGATGTGCGATGTTCATTGGTGTAAGAATAGGATGGAAGAAAGCTAGGGGCGGCCAGACCAAAACACGGCACAAGTCCATGAAGTCACTGACAAGTGGACTGAGTCATGTTGGTAGGTGTAGACAACCTGGTTGTGGACCGCGAGATGATAGCAACCGATGGTTAGAGACCCTGAATGACATGGCTCAAAGTCGTTTGCAATTGCTAACTATACAGTGACCAGTCAGTTGCAAATAAATCTCAATCCTACAGGACGTCAATCATGGTCTGAATAAGTCAGGAAGCACAAGAAAGCCGATTAGTCACAAAAAAGAATTCCACAGCAGACCGCAATCACAAAATTGTCGGTTTTCGTTCTACTGTTTTTCATTTAGCTTCTCTGATATCAGAGGACCTAAGGCAACAAGTGCTTCAGCTGATAAAGCTCGATTGAGTAATTACGGTACTCAACCCCGATCACTACACCAAAGTAGCAGGCTACGATTAAGACAATAAGGTGAGCTTTATAAAAGGGAAGTATTTCAAATTTCATGTAAGCATAGGTTGTCGATATTCGATCGATTTGAAGATACACATTAACATTATAGACCAGAATGTTTTAATCATTTCGATACAGCAGTCAACAATTCATGGTCATATGAGCTTATTCAACTTGTTGACTTAGTCACCTTCCTACTACACCACTTTTAACTACTACTTCATATTGAATTACGAAGTGTCCGGGCATATACATATTTAATGCATATTCAAGCATTGTCAGTTGATAACAGTTTTAGGATGTCACATATCTGTGATTGAGAATAAATACATTGCAAGTAAAGCTAAATAAGACATAGTATAATTAGTTTTTCTTAATTAGAGAAGAAGATATAAAAACACTCTTACCGCTCCTTTGACCATTACGGAAATACGTCCATTAGGTTCACGAACTACAACACCCATACGCTTACGAAAACTGGTAAAATCAAGTACATGTAATATTCCATAACGTTTCTCGACACCGCGCTAAATCATTTTATTTAAAAAGAGAAAATATAAACTATATAAATGAATCTATTAAAGGAGGAAACATATTTATTGGCTTCAAATATGTTCATGAAATTTTTGAAACGTGTCTAGTTACAGGTTTTTTTATCTAGGGCTTTTTCAGGTAAATACATCTCTCGTCGCATCGTAGTGTATTTATACTCACAATGAATCTAAGTATCTACTTACCAATTAGAACACTAACATATCATTAACCAAGCTGAGTTAAAGAAACCAATAACTTGTTCAATATGTATATACATGATGGTAAACGTTTGTGCTTTCATTCTGCTGACATTTAGGATTAAACCAGAACAGTCTCTCATGATATAACAGCATGTCGATCGAATATCTTGATATTCACATGTATTTCCAAACTGACTAAAATCTAGATAATAATACTATATATAAAAGAGTAGAACTAAACTAATCAAATATCAGTCAACCACGATTTGGCTTTTGTAAATGAAAAAAGATATTTCAAAAGGAAAACGGTAAAATTACAAAAAATCTAGAATTTCGAAACATTAACATTTCAATTCTATTATCTTAACCCCAGTACTCCAAAAAGAGCATCATCCTCTGAACTTAATGCATTCATTCGTGGAATATCATATCACAGTTACATAAGATGCTTTACGTCAATAGTCCAACATTCTAAAGGCGCTTTACTAGGTTGGTGGACACGGAGGGTCCACCTAGAAGAGTTGGAAAACCCTGATTCTAAACCAGTGGTGCACATGAGGCTCCAAGATCCTGAGGGAACAAATGGCGTATGAAACAATTGTTGGCCATTGATTACCATGGGTCTGCATCTTTTAGCGTTGCTCCACTGCCTTGTGGATCAGGCCTTTAGGTCGAAGGCTCCAGGTGGGGCCCCCTAAGAAAAGCACCTGCTTTGGTTTAAGCACCCGAGCAGTATTCCAGCCCTCACATAAATCAAATGATTTATGTAGGGCATATCTATTTGGTGCCTCCTTGTACCAATGTTTATGTGCCTGAATAATGAGAAAAACAACGATTAACTTATTCCTTTTGTCCTTCAAATTTCTGTAAAAAGCTTGTTTTAATGAAACCAATAAAAAAAGAATCAGTTTACTTTTAATTGGTTCTTTCCCCTCTCTATATATAAAACAGAAAGGCAGATTGTCAACCTGATGACAATCAGTTCTACTCAGTCTAACTCTTTACAAATTGACCGTGATAAAGTTTAATAGCATTTTACAATAGGTTACTCTAAACCCTGAAAATTCGATCAATCAAGTTAATTATAATCAACGTAGAGAGTACAGAGGATATGTTCATCGACACAAGTCATTACAGTACATCGTTTTAGTAACATGCAGTTATCTAAATGATGGTTGTATGTGTCAGTGATGATAAACGAAAACACGATTAGAGAAAAAATATGATTCAAGTAGAAAAAATGAATTTGTCGAATAAAATATGGTGAAACAGTAGTAAAGTTCCAGATCTAGAGAAAGGTGAATACATGTGCACCATATCACCTAGCATATTTACTCATTATCCACAATAATCGTGCGAACTTCAATCAGATTGAGTCTGCACCTGCCAAAATGGTTTAGATCAAAACAACTGTTAATGAGTTTATAGACTGATGTTATGCTTGATTTTAGTTTATTTTGACCTACTACGTACAAGTCAACTAACTTAAAAGTAAAGACAAAGAAAGAAATATCTAATATATATTTCTTCTACCTCTTCAGTGGTGTTACTGCTTATGCATTCGACAGTCAGCATATTTTTTGTATGCTGCAAAAATTTTCAGTCCCTCAATGTATATAAATTTTTTCTATTGAATTAGTTAATTAATTACAAAGTTAGTGCATTTTTATAAGCTTTAGAAGATGGTACCATTTAGTGTTTAAAAGAAATGTTTACAGAAGCATGAAAAACATCCGAGTCTAATTAGTTTACCGTATTACGACAAATAACTACGACAACAGAATAATAAACTAGACTGTACACAATCGGATAATAATAGAATTCTGAAGAATAAAAATAATTTATGAGTGATAAATAGGTAAACAAAAAGTCTTGAAAACATCTTGAACACTAATGATATCTACTTTGAAGAATTTGCAACTATATCATACAATAGTTGTGAAAGAAAAGGTAAAACTGTTTAGACTTAAAAAAGATTTTCAAAGGATTGATTAAGTATTATGTAACTATTTTAGTGAATATTGTCGTTGAGCTAACACGCAGATTAGATTGTAAAAAGATGATGGAAAATCAATAACGACAACACCTGTGAATAAGAAATACTTTCATGAATACTGTTGGATGTCATAGGTGCATTCACTATTCGCACTTCCTTTGTTTCTTAACACCGAGATCTACTTTTCTTATATTCTACACCTAATGTTTTATTATTATTGACAGTGTTACGACATTTAATGCTTTGGGACTTGTCTTGATACTATTATACTATTGTGCTAATGTGACGTGATAGCTAGAGCCAATGCAAATATGAATCAGTCCTGCGTGGTATATGACTGACTATTACCGACACAAAGTAGATTGGTGCGTCGCCTGCATTATGCAACGTTTTAATATAATCCAAATAGAGACCGATGACAGACCCTTCCTACGTGAGAGCCAACCTAATGCGCAAGTGTGAAAATATTGAGGAAGAATGGGAGGGTAAAAGTGACAATTAAATCTAAAAGAACATAAAACATTGGGAATATGTTATCACTTGGAATCACCAGTCGATGCCACGCATTATACTGCCTAATCGAAATTCCGATTATCGATTAGTTTAATTACATATATGCAGTTGGACCGGTGACTAATTAACCAAATTGACCAGTCAACAGCAGACGATACGTCGACGCTCATTGATCCTCAAGCTCCTTCAAACCCAGAAGCCAATCGGAAGACAAGGACGAAATGTAGATCAGTTCTCTATTGTACTTAATTCAATCGTGACTCAAAACTCATACAAAAATATGCATGAAATGGCTGACCACATAATACACCACATGGGAAATCATACTTAAAACACGATCAAGGCATAAGTGACAAAAAGCGGAACAAACACTAGGTAACTAATTAGCAACACCGCAGGGATAATAAAATGTGTAACAATGGTTAATAGATCCACTCGAATCTTACAATGAGGAGAACGACAAAACAGTTACTGATTATACAATAGAAATATAGATGATGACAATCCGTAAAAATAATCTCAAAAGATCCAACATTTCAAATATTCATCCTGTAACAACACCACATAGATATATAGTTTTGAAGCCGAACCATGGTGAAATGAATAAAGCCTAAATGATAGCGTACATCTTTTCACTGACAATTCGGCCTTGAGCTAGGAAACACAATGATACGTCTGGACTCACCAACTTATCGATATGAACGTTTTTTGACTAACAACCATTTCTCCTTCGGTGGTCCCTTCATTGTTCTGTTATTATTGTAGAGCGTGAAAGGCTGAATTGCTAAGCAACTACTCCAAGTCTTGAAGTTGTTCGCAAATATACTACTCTTTCTCCTACAACTATTGACCGTCCAAATATATTGGAAAACCACACTTTTACTGAACAACACCTATGAATAACATAAAAATGACTTGAATCATCATTGACTGAGGAGTAGGTTGGAACACACATTGCGTACGCACAACCATCGCCTACCTCAGCATACATTGTTTTGTAGTATACGAGTACGTTGAAAAAACTTAGTAGCAGCTAGACCAAGATGTACAACCAGCCTGTGAAGTCCAATTTGACCTGAACTGTATGTGTAGGTGAGGAATACCTGGTTGAGACATGGGAGGTTAACAAACCTAATGATTCGAGACGTTGGAGTAAATAAGTCAAAATCAATTACAAAGTCGCTGATACTTCCACTCTTCGTTCTATTCTAAATCTCGAGTTTAATATTTTACTTACTGATGTGAACAGGGAAACAAGAAGCCCTGACAAACTACGAAAGCTGTTTTTCGGGTCGTTATTCCATTTTATTCAAAGCTTGTAAAACACTGACATTTATTTTTGTCCCTAATCTATTCTACAGATCATAAGCTTTCGTTCAATGAATGATTCATTGCCATACCTTTTTCTGTTCCGAGGCTTTCGTAATTTAAACATAATATTTCGCACTATATTTTCTACTCAAATTCCTAGCTTTCAATATAATTGTATTTTTCATAACTATCGTACGTTGTGGTCGGGTTATTCACCTATTTATTCGTGTACCTTTCTACACTAATCCGAACTGAACTGAAATCAGGATATCGGGAATAGACCGAGTAGCGTTCCCGTTGTCTTGTCTTCTCTCATTCGCGTGCTTGTCAGCCAACCAGGTGATATAATAGTTTTCTTCTCTCTACCCCACTCGAACTCATGCGTAATAGCCTCAAGGTTAGGTCAGTCAGCCTATCGCGCCAAGGTATTAATCTGAATTAGATAGGTATCCTCAGCACCAAGAGTGGGTAGACAGACCAAAGGACATAAAGCCTACAGAACTCGGTTTTTCTTCTTGAAGTTGATATTATTACTACTCTGGCATATGCTGATATAGTATGACGACTTGGACTGATGTACACATGTATCAAGTTCTATATTGTGTTAGTACTGAACGAATGACTGATACAACTTGAATAGAAAAGTCAGTAAAAAAAGACCACCACAAATTGTACACACAAAAAAAACTCACAATTTTAACAACAACTTCTGTCGGCGTTCGAGTAGTGAACACATAACCCATAGTACGTGCAGCTTTCACAAGAGCTGCTTCATCTGAAAAGCAAAGTAAATTCAAACAAAACAATTTGCAATAAAAGACTTCTGAAAAAGATTCGTTCAACTGCTATATTTAAAATCCTTCTTATTTAGTGTACTGATTTGAACAAATTATTGGTTATGCTATGTAAAATTGTACAGCTAACATCAAAGACAATTGAAAAGGAGTTGTGACTAATGAAATTCAATCCGACCAATCGTAAGAAAGGTTACCTACTAAAAAGATTGGGAGACAGATGCACAATATTACAAATTATTGCTAAGCTCTCGTAGTGAAAACTGAGCGTTTATGAGCTCAATCTTCAGTACTGTCGTCAACGGCCCATATTGAAGAATCTCTCACTAGAAAGAAACAACTGCCAGTGCTTCTTGGTTTCCAATAACTGACTTAAGTCAGTTAACGATGTAAACTGCAAAATTCAACGATCTCCACAAACTACTACTAACTAGAATGGTCCAAAGTAACAGTATATGAAGAGATGGCTGAAAGTTGGTTCAAGTCCTCGGCATTCAAACAATAGTATCAATCACCCTCACACTAGCACGAAAAGATGTAGTTCAAACTCGAATATATATATAAATGTATGTATTAATTGTTATAATGAACTGAAAATACAGCAGAGATTAAGAGATATATTTAGTCGACTTAACAATTTAATATCGAAGAAATTTTGTCCTCCTATTCTTATCATAGATAATTTACATGGTTCAATTGTTGAAGTGTTCGGTCCCGATAAGCATAATGAATGGTAACTCTTGGGGTCCATTTATGGACCAATACTATGCGCATATTTTCATGGCATAATTGTTAAATAACTAAACTATTCATATTCATATCCCTTTTAGTGGCCCGTCGTTTCCTGTTCTCACGTCGGGGTTACCATTTTAGTGGCCCGTTGATCTGACTCCTATTTAGATCGTATAAATGTTTGCTATCGCCTTTTCTCGTATATAATCGTCGACTTAATCGCGTAAGCCAACAACGGAATTAAATAAGTCGAATAACGAAAAATTGATCTGTGCATACACATATTTTGTATATGAAGCGAATGAAACAGAGCAAAGCAAAATGAACGCAGGGAAGATGGCTGGGAAGCTAACTCCACTTTAGTCAAGCGTTACCCAATATTTATAGTCAGACAAAAATAAGCTACAGATATGAATGGGTCATGGGATTGGTGCGCGCACACATATACGCTCATAAAAAAACAGTCTAGATTGATAAGCGAATAAATAACAAGGTCAGAGTATGGCTCAAGTAGAATGAATAGAATGGGATGTCCGAAAGCTAGAATAAGGTATATAGGCTTAATATAATAACTGACACTACATGCCTACCAACAACTATGAAGTTAAAGTCCAGTTCTACAATAGGCTGCATTCAATCGTCAAGCATAATAACCGACACTACACTCTCTTATTATGAGCCTTATTTTCACCTATGAACTATTATACGATTTATCATTCTTGAATTATGCCCTGTCTATTAATTACTACCTCCCACATTCACAGCCACATCTGGCCAAATCTTGTAAAAATGTTGTTTCCTATTTCATGGTATAATGTGGTCTGTCTGGTTGGTATATAAACCGATTATGATTGAAATAAATGATTCATATTGCAGAGGCTGAGAGTAGTGTTCTGGACTTAACTGGCTGGGCTACGCAGGAAGCAGGACCAATAAGGACTCTAGATTGATCGTACATGTTTTGTGCGTCAATGATCCGATCGATATTTCACTGCTCTCTAATTGGAGGTATCATTACGTTATACATTAACAGGGCACTCAGGCCATAATTTATAGCAAATAGATTTATATATAACGAGATAGTGGCTCAATTGTGTTGGGATATTCAGGAAAATATCGCAGAAATTATTCTATTAAGTCTAATGCTATTCTTGGACTTGGAGATGGTATTATTTTCTTATTGGTCAGTACTTATTTCACGTGTCATTTTCCTACTGGTTAATATTGTACAATGTTATTTTCTATTTTATGGTACGATGTAGTCTGCTTGATTAGTATATAAACAGTGTGTTTGAAGTATGATGATTCATATCTCCGAGGCTGAGACTTGTGTTCTGGACTCAACTGGATGGGCTAGATAGGGAAGCGGAAACAATCAGAACCCTAGGTCGTTCTACGTGTTTGCGCGTCTTGGTCCGATCGATAATTCGCTACCCTCTAATCTGCAGCATCACAGTTATAGCAAATTGTTAAAGGGTTCGACTTTCAGTCACTATGTTGTGGCTGGATTAGAACCCAACTACTTGATCTACTACGGTTTAGACAAACCAAATAATGCCCTCAGAGTGTAGCTCGAAGTCAAGCGCGAAAATGTACCTGGGAAGTAAGTTATGCAAATATAGAGATAAACGAGTATAATGGTTCAAATATTACCAATCAATCTGATAAGTGGAACTATTTCAGTCAATATGAAAGAGCCGTGATTTGATATTTGAATATATTTCCTAACTAAATCGGTAACACGGTTTCAAAGACCTTTTCTGCCTCTCACAACCACACATATGTCCACCTCACCTAGTTCATATGTAGTGTCAGTTATTATGCCAAGCCCATATACCTTATTCTAGCTTGCGGATATCCCATTTTATTCATTCTACTTGAGTCACATTTTGACCTTGTTAATTATTCGCTTATCAGTCCTGACTGTTTTTATATGAGCGTATATGTGTGTGCCCTTCTTATCGCATTAATCACATGTCTGTAGCTTTATTTTGTCAACCTATAAATATGGAGTAACTCTTGACTAAAATGGAGTTGGCTTCTCAGCCATCTTCCCTGTGCGTTATTTTGCTTGGCTCTGTTTCATCCGCTTCACATACGAAATATATGTATTCAAAATCCAATTCTCGTTATTCGACTTATTTAATTCCGTTATTGGATAACACGATCTAAATCGACAATGATATACGAGAATAGGCGATAGCAAACACTCATACAATCTGAATTGGAGTCAAATCACGTCGGGCTCACCATTTTAGTGGCCCGTGATCTGACTCTATTCAGAGTGTATGAATGTTTGCTATCGCCTATTCTCGTATATCATTGTCGATTTAGATCGTGTTATCCAATAACGGAATTAAATAAGTCGAATAACGAGAATTGGATGTTGAATACATATATTTCGTATGTGAAGCGGATGAAACAGAGCCAAGCAAAATGACGCACAGGGAAGATGGCTGAGAAGCCAACTCCATTTTAGTCAAGAGTTACTCCATATTTATAGGTTGACAAAATAAAGCTACAGACATGTGATTAATGCGATAAGAAGGGCACACACATATACGCCCATATAAAAACAGTCAGGACTGATAAGCGAATAATTAACAAGGTCAAAATGTGACTCAAGTAGAATGAATAAAATGGGATATCCGCAAGCTAGAATAAGGTATATGGGCTTGGCATAATAACTGACACTACACATACGTACTATGTGAAAAGAAGTTAAGAGATAGGTTGAAGTCTTTTTAAATGCGATTGCTCACCAAGTTCCAGACGTAGAGTTACAATTTTATATCAATGAGAAGTAAGGAGCCTGAAGAAACTCAGTGCTTATAAGCGAGACCTTTCGCGAAACCAGCAGAGCTATATGAGCTGCTTAGCAGCACAGTTGCACATTCATTCACTAAACGTAATCAGGATGAACGTGTAAACGGCAGTTTCAGAACATATATTTTAGTACTATTCTCTTATTTCAGTCTTATGGATTAATGATAAAATTTGACAGAAACATATACTCTATATCTGAAGCTGGGATGGTTCTTAGTAAACACCTAACAGTAATAATAATGAAAGCGACAGTCGTTGTAAAATGGTGGTTGAAGGTAGTCGACAGAAAATCCTTATTGACCTAGGTTTTGTGCTATTTGATACTCGTCAGTGTATTCATGAGTTAACTTATGTTGTCGTATCAGTCAACTTTACAATCAGAGATGTTACCACTAACTTATTCAGACCATGATCGACGTCCTGTAGGACTGAGATTTATTTGCAACTGACTGGTCACTGAATAGCAATTGCAAACGACTTTGAGCCATGTCATTCAGGGTCTCTAACCATCGGTTGCTATCATCTCGCGGTCCACAACCAGGTTGTCTACACCTACCAACATGACTCAGTCCACTTGTCAGTGACTTCATGGACTTGTGCCGTGTTTTGGTCTGGCCGCCCCTAGCTTTCTTCCATCCTATTCTTACACCAATGAACATCGCACATCGGGGCAGACGGTGGTTGGGCGCATGTAACACGTGTTCCAGACATCTCAACTGACGAAGTTTCACCACGTCATCAATTGATTTGCCATCCTTACCTAGTACCCGTTTCCTAACAACTACATTACTTACTCGATGGTCCCAGCACATACGAGCAATATTTCGAAGGCACCTATGATCAAATACTAGTAACCTACAGATATCGTCTACTCTTACCGGTCACGTTTCACTGCCATAAAGTAGGACGGAACGAAGTGCTGCGCAATAAACACGTCCTTTGATTGATAGATGGATATCTCGCCTACGCCATAAATGACGCAAGTTTGCCAAAGCTAGGCGAGCTTTCTGTATCCGTGCTGGGATTTCGTCACACACCAGACCACAAGGGCTGATGAAACTTCCAAAATAAGTGAAGCGATCGACACTCTCAATTACAATTCACTCCCTATCATTAGTTCTGGTGTCAATGCAACCAAATCCTGAAGTAACATTTTGCATTTCGACGGGGAAAATCGCATCCCGAACATGCTTGCATTGTTGCTTAGAGTGGTCAGAAGGCTCTGCAATTTTTCAGCGTCTTCATCAAATAAAACTATGTCATTAGCATATTCTGAGTCAACAAGTGAACCTCCTGGTAGAAGTTCAACCCCTGTAAATTTTGATAAGGAAAGTGTTATCTCTAAAAGTACGTCGACGACAGAGTTGAATAAGAATGGAGAAATGGATACAGTGGACAGCTAGAATGCACCTGAACGATCTACATTTCGCGGATGATCTGGCTCTTCTATCGTACACGCAACAGCAAATGCAGAAGAAGACGACCAATGTAGCAGCAGCCTCAGCAGCAGTAGGTCTCAATATACACAAAGGAAAATGCAAGATTCTCCGATACAAGACAGAATGCAACAATCGGATCACACTTGACGGAGGAGATTCGGAAGATGTAAAAACCTTTACATATTTGGGCAGCATCATTGATGAACAGGGTGGATCTGATGCAGATGTGAAGGCGCGGATCGGCAAAGCAAGAGCAGCATATTTACAACTGAGGAATATCTGGAACTCAAAGCAACTGTCAACCAACACCAAGGTCAGGATTTCCAATACAAATGTCAAGATAGTTCTACTGTATGGGGCGGAAACTTGGAGAACTACGAAAGCCATCATCCAGAAGATACAAGTGTTTATTATTAGATGTCTACGCAAAATACTTCGGATCCGTCGGCCAGACACTATCAGCAACAACCAACTGTGGGAGAGAACAAACCGGATCCCAGTGGAGGAAGAAATCAGGAAGAGGTGCTGCAAGTGGATAGAACACATAATGAGGCAAGCCCTCATATGGAATACTCAAGGCTAAAGAAGAAGAGGAAGACCAAAGTACACACTACGGCGAGAAGTGGAGACAGACATGAGAAAAATGAACAAAAACTGGATAGAACTAGATAGAGAGGCCCAGGACAGGGTGGGTTGGAGAATGATGGTCGGCGGCCTATGCTCCATTAGGAGTAACAAGCGTAGTAAGTAACCGCCGTATTACATTGATGTAGACCTTGTGACAGATATCCACCAGAGATTATCTATGAACTGTATTATTTCAAACAAGTCTGTCCTTCACTTGTAACATTGCTTTTGAAATCTGTTTGGTCATTTTTGTAGATTGGCATGGATTCTGTCATTTGTTCAGAATATATATATAGTTATTTTATAATGGCAGGAACTACATTTACATCATTATTCAGGGTCGGATTTTGATCACTCTTCGTTGGTACGATTATAGCCATTATATAACAAGTTATCATAGGATAGATGGAATAGCACTGAAATCTAGAACACGCTTTTCATTCGGTTTGCGATTCTCGTCATAAATTGAGTGTATTTATATCTTAGTGTTACTGCTCACTGATGTTTAGTACTGAATATTCAAACCCTTCCTATTATTAATGTATAAGCATCATACCCACTGAAAAAGTTTTTAGATATTTGAACTCAATAGTTTAGTGGACAACTACTCAATGGTGTCTGTGAAGTGATAATGGCTACGCATAAACCTCAGTGTAAGCATCAACACAGCGATGCAGGTACGGCAGATAGATGTCCAGATGATAGGTTGTGAGGGATTAGAATGTAGACCACAATTCGTCTATTGAATATAAATAGAAAAACCTATTGCACAGCATAGCACATTATGCACACTAACCTGGAGACGAAGCTTGATAATTAATCAATTGTTCATTATTGAGATTATCATTACCGAAAACAGCAACATTATTATCATTGGTATTATTTTCACTGACATTACGTTCTGGTACAACAGTATGACAAACAGCTAATATTGTGAAGAATTGATCAACTAATAAATCTCCAGCATTTAATTTATTAATTAGATTTTGATCTTCTAAAGCATTTGAATCTTCAGTACTATTACTAAACATGAAGAAATAAAAAGAGAACAGATAAGAAAAGTAAACATTATGTATGTGTGAGATAGTTTCTATTTGATTGTCATGTATATCGAATTTAGTCAATCATTTATGGTCAAGACAGAGTTTGAAATATATTTACGTTGATAAATTAAGTTACCATACGACATTAGTAAGACAAGATGAACGTAACATGGTAAATAGCAAAAGTTATAGAAATAATGTTCTGACAAAAATAATGAGAAGAGCTAAACGCCAGGAATATGCATCAAAAAGACAAAAAGAAAAGTTCGGGATGAAAAAATAATGAAACTTAAGGTCTTGAGTGTGATATCGAGTAAATGTACCTATATCGAGTTTTCCAAAGTTTACTTTGTAGCAATCCCATTCAACTATTGTATTATTTGTCTACTCTCTGTAATTCAGACACTTAATTCACTATGTTCATTTCTGTGTGTGTATGATTGAGCGCGTGTCTGCACATCAACCTTAATCTATTCTCCTATTAGTGGTAACAAACAGATAATCAATAATTTACCCACACTCGACTGACACTCAAAAATATATATGGATTTTTAACTCACACACACACACTCGTGGTTTCACAGTGTGCTTGCTCGCTGTACGCTCGTGGATTCTATTTATGTTTAACAATGAAAAAATACCTGTACAACTGGTGTTCAGGCTCCTGAATAATCTCGAGTAAATCCATAATTGTACTAGGAGATTTAGCCTACCTTAAATACTCAGTTAACAGGATATCATTTATTGGAGTCAGATATAGAGGAAATTAGCCCTCGACAACTTCTACTAATGCTGCGCAGAATAATAATCCATGACCTCACAAACTAATATCAATTTTTGGTTTGGCCACTTGTTAGCGGGACATAGACTGGGTTAAAGCATGCTCAACGCATGATTGCTTCGGTGCACGCTGATTGGCTAGTTCTTGTCCAATCAGCGTTAGCCAATACTTAGTGAACACTAGAAATCTCAAGTGGAAAACTATAAACATACTAACGTTTTCCTTATTGCTTCTTACTTCCATCTAACCTTGTTTTTTGCAATATAATCTCTTTCCTGTTCAACCGTGTTCTGATTTGGGGACTTGTCGAGTGAATCGGTGTCCGAGAATACTAAGCAATAGGAATAGCTGGGTCATGACTGTAAGAAAGAGATTATAACACCACTCCTAACTTTCTTCTAACGTACTTCTGCACAAATAAGCATCCCTGGAAGAGGTAGGTACGGTTAGAAATATGTGCCACATGTCGTAATCACCTCAGCAAATCGAAGTTCACAACCGAATCAGGCAATTCGAAACCTATCCCTCGTACTTGATGCCCGACCTCGATCGTTCAACGATACAAAAGTAACCTGATACAACTGGGCACCAAAAGTAGTACGGGAATATAAAATAAACAGATAATATTGTGAAGAAATAAGGAAAGAAAGTACAGTCAAAGAACAAATGAACAAGACCAGGAAATATATTTTAAGCAAAAGTAAAAATACTAATCCGATGTAGTTATCATTCATACGACGACGTCATGTAATTAAACTGACCATGTCTCCACTTTTCTACCCAGTCCCAGAGTCGAGAACTGATGCTTGATATGGAAGCTGCTGGTATGACATTATTAGAAGATTTGAGGAGGATAATCAAATATTTCAAACACATAGGAACGAAAAAATTATGAGCAAGTTAATCTGAACATTGAAAAGTGTTTGAATTTCTATAAGAATTCAAACAATGATGAGATAAAATAAAATCCTCTCTTCAAATCTCCCGCTTAAATGTAAGCTACACAGCAATTGACCATCTAAAAATTGTTTTCAATTAGATGAAGGTATAAGTGGAAGGAGTGTTTAATTGATATTTTGTTCGAGTATCTTGAATCCTCAGAAATGAAAATCAAGACACATGACTTTCGCGTTTCTTACTAAATTCATGGGAATTCGTCGCAAAACCTGACTTCGATCCCTGGTGTATGGGTGCCCGCCAAAATATAATCAAACGAAACAAAGATCTACTGTTCTTTGATTCTCAATGACATGGTTACATTCGTGAAGAATACCAGCTAAACATTAGTTATTTTGTCAGAAGTAACATGCAATGTTATATTTTCATAATTTAAATGACAAACTGATACTAGCTAGACCACCATCATTCAAAGCCTGAAAGCACTGGACAGCTATCGTGTCCTAGTATGAGAATCAGTAATGTGCATCCATGATCCTACATCTGAGTAACGAACTCAGGAACAAGAACAATAAAGACACTTACCCATACATAATACCACCGATTGAACATCTTTTGAACTCCATCACATTACGAGTTAACGTTCCGGTCTTATCAGAGAATAAATAACGAACCTAATGAAATGACAAATGCAAAACGTCAATTATGGGTGAGCATGTCGAGTGTTTGTATACAGTAATAATATACATGTATCTGATACGATATTGAGGAGATTACAGAAAATATGTACACAGGACAACCAGTTTGGTGTGTTATTTATGTCGACATAAGTAGTATATTACACCAATCAGAAATGGAATACCTAGCAGCAGAAGGTTGGGAAGACCGAATCGAACAGAATGGAAACAGAGCAATTGCTATGATAATGAAAGAACAACAGAGTTTGAGATAATTGATGGAGGACTAGCAAATGAGGTATTGAACGTATGGTTTTCACATTTTAACAAAGTACTCTGTAATTTGGTATTAAAATACAACTAGTTGTCCCCACCTGTTTTCTCGTTCATTACACTGGCTTTGCTAAATATTTTCCAGTTGAAATACATGTTTGAGAGAGTTGAAGGAAATCATTTTTTTGTATTTGATGTGAAAGATTTTAAAGGTATTTTGGTGGATGGCAATTTGATTGTGAAAATATGGTTGTTGTACATGAATCTGTCACTTTGTACATGAGTTAAAAATGAATTATACGCAACATAATATCCGGATATAAATATTCATTGATGTAAATTGTCACAAAGCATAATAACACGGACAATAAATTGACGGAGAACATACGTTGAGAAGTACTGATGATACTTAGGAATAAGAAAGTATGGATGTCAAAATTGAAGATGATGGAGGGAAACAAAGAGTGGATATAAATTATTGGCACTAAAAAGTCATGAATTACATCATCTAAATATCATTACTTATAACGAATTCAATGCGAACTTCAACTTGGAGAGTTTAAACCTCCACATACAGCTTAGTTCACCCGACTGACGAACAGACTGTTGGCGCTGTGCATTCAATTGACAGTCCTTAGCTTTTCACTCATGTGTATTTAATGTAAGAGTGTAATTAAACGCTAATATGAACTATACTAAAAATATTAATAAACTTGTTTATATCAACATTCACAGAATTCCAAATAAACACAAGAAGCAAAGTGTGAAAAAGTCATAAAACGTTTTTTTTACTGTCTACTTAGAATTATTTTAACTAAAACAAAAACTTGAAAGATGTACACTTCATCAAATCAACGTATTATTTCATTAACATAATCTTACAACATATTCAATTTATCTGGGGAAAATGATGAGCAAAGTTATCAGTAGGTGATGATATTCGTTATGGATTAACATTTGAGGTACTGTTGGACTAAACGGCTATTTTGTCCCAGTGTGGAGCTCCTCAGCACTACGCAAGCACAACCCCATAAACAATCAGACGCAAAAAATTAAGTCTAGTAGAGTGGTTGCCATTAAGACGATCGTATAAGTATTCAATGGTAAACAATTTACAATATAGTTCGAAGATTATCACACAATACCACTGATGATGACTGTTTTAATGTAGACGATATTTTCAAACATTATATGGGTTACGATTTTTGGTTCTCGTAAATTAGTAGTGATAAGACGAGATGGAAAAGAAAAATTACTTTGTTTACTCACTTTGATTACTGTTCTCTGAGAACAAAACTCCATCAAACTCATTAATAAATAGTTCAGTGAATAGTAGATGATATAGTGATGGAATCCACTAATTCGATAGTAAAAAAAACTTGGATTTCACTCACACAACTAGATTTACAGGATTCGATCAGTACTATACAAACATAGTGCCCATCACCACTCAGTGAGCAATCAATATAAACATTTGTCACACAACGATTCAGTCGAAACCCGAATAGCTCAGTAATAACGACTGTGAAGCTAATTGATATAAGCTTGAATATTCCAGAGTGTATCAGCTCGCACAAGGTTTGTCAGTACACCTTGCTTACGAGTACCTATTAGCACTACCTGTAAGCACTTAATGTGGTGTGCTACTGATGTCGAAAAATATAATAAGTATGTATCACTAATCGAAAGTGAAATACCTGGCTGCAGACGGGAAAAGAACGAGAACAGAGAGTGATTGATATGAAAACGAAGGAACAATTAAGTCTGAGACAACTGGTTGACATTTTGCAAATGAAGTATTTACTATATGGTTCTCAGATTTTAACACGATACTCTGTTATGTTGTCCTACCTGTATTCTCGCTCACAGCACTAACACCAACTTCACTACACATACATACAAAATATTTCTGATAAAAGGTATGCGTAGTACTGTGAAAAAACAGGGGTAGAAAGAACGTACTTGACCTAATTCTTCATTTAAATTGGAAGTACGTGCCATAGCTGGTGTATCCGAATCCGGATCATACATATCCGAATCCTAAGAAAAAAGGAAATCGAACCAAAAGTAATAAGCGAGAACTTGAAAAATACGAATAAATGTGCATGCTTTTTCATGTTAGTATGTATATTCTCTTATTTGTATAGTGAAACTACGGATATCACTAAATGAAAGGAAAATCAAAAAACAACGCAAGCTTCATTGATATAATATTAATTATTCTTGGAAATGATCAGCTAGACAAGTCAAATCACTTGAAACATTGAAGTTTAAAAAAAGGCAAAATCATACTGCTGACATCTAGCTGAAATTATTTACATAAGAACAGTAGTATATATAATTATGAATACACGAACAATTCATATAATCGAAATCACTAGTGATAGGGCATTAGTGTATCATTATTAGTGATTAAGCATAGATTAAATATAGTTGGGCTAATTTTCTTTTCCAAAGGTAAATCTAACTAGAAGAGATAACTTTTGTGACCGACTGACAACAAGAGAATATGTGAAAAACATAAAGGGATTAGACGACAGGAAAGTTGTTTCATTCCGCAGTTCGATTATTGTTCAGAAATCAACATGAATTAGCCCAAATCTTGCTTTATGGAAGATTATCACTGTTGTCTTAGTATCACAGAGAAACTGAAGAAAACTAGCACTCTCTCACGTTAGAGAATGAGTTTTGACCAACACAAAAGGAATAGATTAATATTATAATATTGTTCATGACACAATAGTCAACTGTAAATATTCCAGACCCATATGACGTTATTCACAGCGCGAATAGCTCAGTGGGAACGCCTTGGATTGCAGAACAGGCTTATGTGGGTTTGAATCCATCACAGTTTAAACGTTCCTTCAAGACTACAGATATTCCATGGTGATGTATAAATAGCATAAAATTTAGGCGAAGCAGATTTGCCAGTCGATTACATCAACCATTTCAAACAAGAATCTCATAATCCAACTAAAGAAAAAACGTCAACGTACGATACTTGTCTATCCTCTTTTCATGTACAAAGATATTATTCATCCTTAACACAATTGGTAAAATTGATAGTTCCATTGAATTCCAAGAACAGAGGACTTACATAAGACCGTTTACAACAGTCAACTTGTAGAAGCTTTGAAGTAGATTGATTTATATTCAAGAAATTTTATTAACATTAGTCATTCAGTGCATGTGTTAATTATTGAACATGTATGTGTCTTAGCAGTAAATAGGTCAGACAAACAATAAAATTGTAAGTTTGGTCAACTAATAATATACACATTAATGAGACATAGCCCTACCTATGAAACTCAACAAGTTTAAATAAGGTTTGTTGAATGAATGCTTCAGAGCCAATATCTCTAAGTCAAGAACGGTAGAACTGGAAATAGGATATTTGTAAGGAATATACATTTCCTAAAAGACTATGATGCCTTCCCCATTGTAGGATTATTGTCGATCATGGTTAAATAAAGGCTCCGGAAACTGCACACAGAGACCAAGATTATCAATAGTATTTGGCAACAAATAGGAAGGAGAACCCCAGAAAGGGTGACAGGTTTAAGCTACATAATACAAACGTTCTCACAGCAACAACGACGGTGTCAAATAAAGAACAGCAAGAATCACAAGCACACTGCAAAAAACGATAAGACATGGGACAAGTAGAGTGGGATTTTGTAGATTATGAAATCATGAAAACGGTTAAGGTTAGATATCCATTGAAAATCTGAAAATGCTGAATAGCTATCTCGTCCTAATATGGGACTACTCAGGAGTTAGCACCCATGACTCTCCAACAGTGAATCAAACCAAACGACGTTAGTTTTGAGCATGAACGCTTAAATAATGAGCCGGGATTCAATGATCTATAATTCTGCTTCCAGTCAATTAGCGAGACCATCTTCCATTGTTTTTGGTAGATACCTGCCTAACATCTAACACGATTAAACTCCGCTAATCAAAGTTTCTCACTTGAACTCCGAAAATTTTCTTTAATCTAGTCATCAGTGAGTTTGATCAAGAGAATGAAAAAACTGAGTGAAACTACCAGTATGATTAGAAGAACGAGTAGCAAAAACGAGAGAAACTGGTAGCTGACTGATGAGAAAAGATCCTTTAAATTGAATCTATTAAATATTTAAATAAGAGTCGAGTTGCATTCTGGAGATGATGTCAGTAAAAGATGACAAGTGATTATTATGTATATTGCTGAAACAGTGTTTTCGACGGCTTATTCACTGTCCAAATGATTGGTTGATGCGCTAAATTTATAAAACATTTCTCTCCAAACAACCATAGCAAAAACGTTGACAGACGAAGTAAATGACAACTTCCACGGATATTTTGAAAATCTAAACATGGACAGGGCAAGATTATCCACAGACGGGAAAGTATTCTAAGTGAGATAAAACCTTCCTACTTTGAATTTTGGATGGGCTACGTTTCATAGAAGTGTAATATTTTAACATGAAGTTTCATTTTAAACGAGTTGTCTTCAATTATCTACTGTAACAAATGATCTTTAGTAAAACCCAACACCCCAGATCAAATACATAGATATATGAAAGTTGAAATACAATTCCATATGAAACCTAGATGACACTTATGATATAAGCGAAGTTCCCAGAAAAGACGCATTTATAAATCATTGTAAGCGTTGTGGATAACCTCGTTTTTTAATTAACGAGAGCTATCTTTGGTGACAACACAACTTAAACATTATTTATTTAAAATAAGAACTGACCATAGTTAGACAACTATCGGAAGTTCAGGACATACGAAACAACTGCTCTAGCTTCTAACAATTGGCACAGCAGTTTAAAATTTGAGTGTTCACCACAAGGCTCAAAGGTCCAAGTTCTAATCCCCTGTAAGACTGTAGATTTACAATTGTGAGGGATCCATACAAGGATAAAACAGCTGATAAGTGCTTCATGGAGGTAAGTGGTTCTCTAATTAAAATTAGTTCATAATTCAATAGTTTGAACAAATTCCTTATGTACCAATAACTTCGACTTTTACGAATTTCTTGCAATAGAATAGCGCGATTTATAAGTGAGACTGATCCTTTTCCTTTTTTTAATATATTACTCTTAATGTTATTTTCTTTTGTCCTTGCATTACTATATTAAATAGCTCTGACCGCACACTAGATAAGCTCCTCTACTTTAATGTTATAGAATTCGGCTAATCTTATATACAAACACATTTACTCATAAAAAAGTCTTTGACATTGGTTTGTTTGTTGCTTGTCTTGTCAGTTTCCAAGTAAAAATGTACTATTAGTATGGAGAAATTTTTGGGAATTATAAAATTTTCTGCAGTATAAATCACAAACTGATCTTAGTTAAACCACTAACACTGAAAACCCTGAAGCACTGGTCGGTCGTTTCGCCCTAATATGGGACTCCTCATCAGTTCAGACCTACGATTTGGGAGCGGTAACGAAGGTCCTAGGTTCGGTTATCGGATGTGGGGACGTGAATGCACACACTAGGACGGGAGTCGTCTGGTGTTTTCAGGTTTTCAATGGTGATCTAGTTGAGTTAATATGTAAAAAACGAATTCATCCAACGATCACTGTATGAAAGTTAAAAGAATGTAGAACATCAACATTAAGGCAGGACCATATGCATGATATTAACAGAACCATAAAAACACAAACTTCAGAGAACATTCATTTTTTTGGAAATGATTCTTTGGAATAATATTGTACACTACAACATGTCATATATATTATGGAATATTTAAGTAGTAAGTAGGTAGACTATGATTCACAGGAATCGATCATTTGACTTACTTAATGATGGTCAAAAAGTGGAAAAAGTTAACATGAGATGAAGTAAGTATTGATATTTTATGGAATTGATGAACGATCTAAGTTAGACCACTGATGGAAACCTGAAACATGGTGATGGACATCTACGAGCCGAAATCCGAGAATCGGAACTCAGGGCCTGCGGGGAGGCCGTGGATTAGCACTGCTAGGGAGCTCCAGACAAGACTGAACTGAACGTGCTTTACGGTTTGCATTCGTCGTCTAACTTCGAACATTTAGCCAAGCTCATGTAACTAATGTTTTATTGTTCTTTTCTTTATATTGCAAAGTATGTTTACACTAACGAACAAATATAATACCTACGCATCGGCGATCAATCGAGGTTCACACCTCTATCATTTAATGATTTTATTCTGTTAATTAATGACGATAAAACGAGAGTGAATTATTGTCGTCCATTAGCACTTACGATCAATTAGACGATTTGGACTTCGCAGATGACCTAGCCCTCCTATCACGTACACACGAACAGATGCAGATGAAGACAGTCAGTGTAGCAGCAGTCTCTACATCAGTAGGCCTCAGCATACACAAAGGGAAAACCAAAGTCCTCAAATTCAAAGCGGAAAACAACAACCCAATCACTCTTGATGGCGAAACTCTGGAAAATGTAGAGTCCTTCACATACCTGGGAAGCATCATCGATGAACAAGGAGGTTCAGATGCAGACGTAAAGGCAAGGATTGGCAAAGCAAGGACAGCATTCCTACAGTTAAAGAACATATGGAACTCAAAACAACTTTCAACCAATATCAAAGTGAGAATCTTCAATACCAACGTCAAGGCAGTTCTACTGTATGGAGCTGAAACTTGGAGAACTACAACAACAACCATCAAGAAGGTACAAGTATTTATAAATAGTTGTCTACGCAAGATACTCAACATCCATTTGCCGGATACCATCAGCAATAGCCTTCTGTGGGAGAGAACAAACCAACTTCCAGCTGAAGAAGAAATTAGGAAAAGACGATGGAAATGGATAGGACATACATTACGCAAATCTTCAAACTGCATCACGAGACAAGCCCTAACTTGGAATCCTGAAGGGAAGCGAACAAGTGGAAGGCCAAAGAACACATTGCGTCGGATAATAGAAGCAGATATGAAAACGATGAATTACAACTGGACGCAGCTAGAAAGGATTGCCCAGGACAGGGTTGGATGGAGAATGCTGGTGAGCGGCCTATGCTCCTTCACGAGGAGTAACAGGCGTAAGTAAGTAAGTAAGTATTAGCACTTACGAATTCTATGCTAAGATGAAACAACTGTCCAAAACTCTCTGAGTTTTTCAATGATGCTTTAACTGAGATTTGATCTCTGTAAAGAGTACAACTTACAAATTGAAATCAATTTTTACAAAAATTTATTTAATTAAATTAAACAGAACTTTACATTATTAGTCAACCTCATTTATTCTTCAACATATCACGATGATGTTATTGAAGACCTTTTTAAAAAATCATTGAGTAATACACTTGTCGCTGGAACTAAAAATCTTAATTTCCATTCATGAAATTCCATACTACGTATACAATGACCCCTCATCTTGTCTAATGGTATTTTATCCTCAACCTTAACCCCTGGGTGATATTGTATCCGTAACAATAACAAAACGAACTACTTTTATGGATAAATTAAGTGTTCAAAGAAAAAGCAATTCTATGACATACACAACTTAGTAATAATGCTTGAACTAAGCGCACAACTTCCAGACAAACTTGTAAACTGATCGGTACCATTGTATGGTACATGATGAATGATGTAATTAACATATTAATTGCATAACGTAGAGTTGTTTTATCTAGTTTTATTTAATTGTAGAAAATATTATAATAATAATTTCATGGAAATTTGTCATTAGTACACCAAAATTAGACAACCAATAAATGGATACATATACGAACAGAAATAAACATTAATGTTATCCAGGTAAATTTTACACAATTACAATCAAGTATTAGTGTAATGGTTAATTTAATACACACATACGCATACACAAGGGGTGCGATAAGGATTCGAGAGGAAACATACGGTGTGTGGGATGAGAGGCAAAGACCACACGTCAGTAGGTGATATATTCATATTACAAAGAGAGGAAGAATGAGTGGAAAGGGCATGTACAAGAGCATACACAGCATAGATAGGTAAATAAATAGATACATGGGACGTTTTGGGTCAGAATCACCCCACACCCAATAGCACACACATACAGACATAAATCACAGATATAACGAACATAAGTTTAAATACAGAAACGAAACCGCGAAACATGGATAAAGTCGGATACGGGGTGAGCAACAGACAACAATAGAAGCCAGATGTATGACGGCCACAGAGACGACAACAGAAGCGGAAACAAACACGGTGTGTAGTATGTGTGTATGTACAAAACATAAAACGAAGAAAACAAAATAACATAAAGGAGTAGCATATAAATGTAAATATATACAGAGGGAAAACATTAGAAACAAAACACAGATGACAGCGACAACAACAGCGGTAAAATCAATCGTGATCCAGGACACGGCCGTGTATGCATGTAACGTGTTTAAGCACACACATAGGACGTTTTTTAAACATACAATTGTAGACGAGCAGAGAAGATTGGCATTTTTTACGTAGAAGCAGAAAGAAAGAAACAAAACAAATAGAAAAGGTAAAGGCGAGAAGCACGCAATGACGAGAGAAAAATAATTAAAAAACTACACTGCGTACAATGGAGCGACAGTAAATATTTTTTACTTAGTATAAAATATGTAACCCGAACAAAATAGTGTATGAATCAGGCAAATAAGAAAACTACTCACCCAATTAATATACAATGCTTGGATAAACCGTACAACTTCAAGCATCACTGGCAGACTGATTGGTATGATGGTGTTATACAAAATGAGACAGGTGATAAAATCCAGTAAACGTCGAAGATCGCTTCTAACATCCACTATAAATAAATATATAATATAAACACAGACAAACGTACTTCGGGCAAAAAGTTGTGGGTAGGCGAAGATCGTAGTGAGAAAGTGTGGCTAACCATAGGATGTACCTCGCTGATCGGTCTCTCGTAAGGATATTATATATAATACACGCACTGCTTGCTGTCATTTAACTTATATCGCAACGCTTGGCTTTATAAGATTCGATCATAAAACAACCTACATAATTAAATCGTATCTTTGATGCTTAATCTTTTCTATTATCAATAATACTGTTAAATCTACTCCTCTGAGATTTGCCCTAAAAATTTTATCGCGCTGAACTAATGAGGTATAGCAACTTGAACCGATGTACAAAGTTACCAGGTTCTACCTAGAGTATGACTGGTTGCCTAAGTACTTCAAACCAATAGAATGGTATTTAACCACATTAGGCCACTCATAAAGGTAATTGATAACAACCATTCGACTTGGTCACACAATAAGAATTACGCTAAACTGAAGCAATATCATCTATGAACAAGGTATATAAACACATACACGAAATACACGGAGAAAATTGGATGAAAGACTAAGAAAATGATGTTTCTCGTATAGTGAACATTAAAAAGGTTGACATCACTCTTCTGTTGTACACTAACGCATAGACTGAAACGCTCTGGTGATTACACTCATGTTTACGACACGCTTCTCATTGTATGTGTTTGTCAGTGAGTGAGCAAGACAGAGAACATTTGTTTTCCAATGATCAGTACGTGGATTAAAAATTCCAAACCAATGATACTGTCTTTATTGTTGAGGCCCTCATTTTATTAAATGAGAACCAACTAATTTACAATTTGACTTTGAAAACATAAAATAGTAGTGTGTGTAATTGGTATGTCGATCATGTGATCCATGTAATAATTCAATTTAAATTTATATACCACTAGTAGTATATCATGTGTTAATTTTCTTTTACGATTGTTAATTAGTCTGATGAAATAATAGAATGAAATTGAATTGAATCACAATATCATTTATATTCATGAGTTAATACATAGTCGTTTAAAATTGGAAAGTAGTTGGCACACATTTATGTAAAATTTAAAAAAAGGTGTTACCAAGTGACAAGAATTTGATAATAGATCGTGAATTCTTTTATTGATGGGTATTCATTGCTGCATAATTTCGATAAACTATAAAGTGAATCCACTGGTATTTTAACTGATGTTATTATTTCCATAAGAAAGCCGGTTTTCAGGGAAAAACATCTTTAAATCAATGGCGATTTCCACTGGAAAACTCATATAGATATCAACAGTAAACAAAAATAGGTAACCAAAAATAAATTAAATCACCGTTAAAACATACACAAACATACCATTTTCCTGTAGATACCACATTTTTTTCTCATTCCATGATGTCCAAACTAAATTTGCAATAAACGTGAACAAAGTCAAGAAGAGCAGTACACCGAACAGACATAAGATCTATAATGTTAAGAAAGAAAAAGAAGCAAGATCGATAAAGATGCTGACATGATAAACACATAACCATGTCGTGCGAATGAGATGTGTAAATTCGACTTAATTTGACATAATACACTTAGTTAATCTCATTTTATTATATCGATGTAGCGTAACAAATTGAGTTGATTTATGTTTGTATCATAAATTTAACGTTGATTGTAACTGACCGCTTGAAATAACTGTAGACCAGATGTTTCAAAAGCGATAATCTAATGGTTGAAATACATGACTTTGATACATTGAACTGTTGGTTCGAAATTTGTTGAGACTACGCCTCATAAGTAAAAAAGTACGCCTCAAAGTTAAGCACATAAATCCATACTTGGTCACTAAAATGTAAACCTCTTTATGTCTTCCACCTCCAACACTAATATAAACTAAGAAAAATTAGTGATGTTTAAAAGATGAAATTGTTAAGGAAATATATTTGTATACCACACACGATGAACAAGTGAGTGAATATATGGCACGGTAGCTCAAGTGATAACGTGTTTGATGTCTAAAGATAAAAATGGTGGATTCGAAACCCAATGTGAACACTAACAACACACTAAGAGTTTGAGGTACAGCCAGTCAATGAGTCACCAGTATGACGAAATCCGCGTCTCGGATTTCTGTGCAAGCCACAATCCATCTGTCATATAAGTTTACTTCAAGTTATTGTTTTACACTATTTGTAAAATTTCTGAGGAAGAAATTGAAAACTGGACATCTTGAGAGAGGAGGAAAGATGAAAGAAAACAGAACAAGTCTACTCACATAGGTATTAGTTTGACGTTCAACTGTTGATCGTTTTAAAGGAGCCGCTGTTGAATTCAACATCACTTTAGATTCTTTACCTGTATACACAGTTAAACCTGTAAATGACAAAAATAGAATGGATAATAGTGGCATATTCTGGTTAAACATAATGGTGTTTAAGCACATGAGTACATCATATAAAAAAGTAGCAGCCTAAGTGAATTCACATAGACAGTGATTGGTTGGAGTGGAAAGCAAGCGAAAGACACATACAGACTAACAGTAATTTGTAGTGAGAAGGGAACTTACCAAAAATCCATTTTGTATTCTTTAATGATGCACCTCGTAAAATTAATTGTGTTGGATTTAAAGGATGTGCTCTACAAAGTGAAGTGTAACAATGCAATAATCTCAATGATATATTTTTTTAAAAAGACAGATACTATCAATCAAAATGACGACAGACAAGCAATATCGTAAACTGACTTAAGATGGAAATGTAAACTATGAGATTCCCAATTCACTGGTGTAAAGCTTTTTTCTACTGAAAGGAATTTCAGATAAATTATCTTATTAGCGATATCATTTACCTAAATGGTACAATCGTATTTACGAGTAGTGATTTGTTTACATATGGTAGTAAGGTAAAGGCATGTTACAAAACTATCAAGGATAATTAGAATTCCTATTCAAATATTAAATATAAAAGTCTAGGCCGACGAAGTGATATTAGATCGTTTAACAAAGTTGTTTAATATTATCAAAAAATGAAGTTGGAAGTAAAGAAAGCGATATTTTATAAAATAAAAGAAAAAGACAACCGTCCATTCTATAAACGGGAAGAATAAAATAATAATTAGCATTTCCGATTTTAAAATTGCTAGAAGAGGTTCTACGAACGTCGAATAAAGGATTGTACATAACTCTTTAATACACAGGGCTTTCGCTTTGAAGTGATGGATTGCCATAACTTTATCTGTGTACGAATTCCTCATCCATACTTCACTTGAGCCAACTCTCCTAATTTAGTAGATAATACTGGACGATGACTCTTGTGATGACAAGTGAATAGAGTTAGTGAATGGTTGATTAACAGCTTAATCCTCTAACATGTGGTCTCATCTTAGCCTTCCTTTTTTGTTTACACATAACCAAAGTATGTGGCTCAAAGTTGATTACATAAGTTTGTACATGGTGTATGAATAAATCATAAGGTATGAAGAAAGCGTGGAAGTCACAACACTGGCAACAATAAGTGTTATAATATTAAATGTCAATAAAAATAGCAAACCGAATAAAAAGCTTTCTGATACAGTAGGGTTGATCAATCACCAAATAACAATTGCATGTGATTTGTCAGTAAACGGCTTTTTACCAAGTACTGAGAAATAAACCACTGACAGACTATATAAATAATTCCACATGCAGTTGATTCTAACCTCTAACCTCCCTTTCTGATCGATTGGATTCCCATTAACAGTCGGTTATGTGCCGTTAGATTAGAAAGTTCCATCAGTGAGAAGAAATCTTGTGTAGGATTTAATTTGTTCTACAGACTATTCTACCAAACTGTAGATGCGATACTGACGACCCAGAGTTTATGTGAGAGTTATAATTAGAACAAGGACAACTAAGCTTTAAACTTTGTCTGTTTCTAAACGTAAAAATAACAATTTGCTTACTACAATAATTTATTTATTATTTATTTGAGCACATAAATATTGGTACAAGAGAGCGCCAATATATATGCGCCACACAAAACAATGAAAATTCGAAGAGAGATAGAAAAAAAAACTAAGGAGCACAAAAGAAAAAGAGAACGATAACGAAGAGATTGGTGTAAGGTAGTGTGGTCGTAACGATGGAACGGAAAGGTACAATCAGAAGAAATCTTTCAAGTAAGGGAGACACAACAACTTTTTATGAAGAAGGTAGAAGAAAGTTACAGCAGGATCGCCACTGGCTTCTATTCTGGGCTATATCTGATAACGTCTCTAGCCACTGTGTAGCACCATCTCTCAGACCCCAACCAGGGAGTATTTCTTTCATGCCACGACATCATGTCATACACTGACCACCTCTCCGCTTCTTCCAACCAGTCCCAGAGTCGGCAAATAATGCACGACGTGGAGTTCTCTGAGACGACATTCGGAGAACATGTCCAAGCCACCGAAGTCGGTGTTTCAAGATGGTGACACCAATTGAATTATCATCTCTGTGCCCAAACACACGATGCCGAACCTCTGCATTACTGACATGGTGTTGCCACTAGATGTCAGCAATCCTTCGGAGACAGCGATGATCGAACACAGAGAGTCGTCTAACGTCCTCAACTCGGAGAGGCCAGGTTTCACAAGCATAGAGCAAAACTGCTCTCACCGACGCGTTGTAGATCCGACTTTTTACAGCCAGACTAACATCACGAAGGCGCCAAAGGTGACCCAGATTGGCATAAGCCGCTCTGGCTTTCATTATACGTGCATTGATCTCATCACTCACGCCACCCACCAGCACTTATGCAGCTACCCAGATACACGAACTTCTCGACTACTTCTATCTGCTCACCATCCAGGGTGAGTACAGGATTGGAATCCTGCCAGTCTTGTAGAAGTACTTTGCACTTCGAAGGTGCAAAGCACATACCATACCTACGGACACTGATTGCCAACTGATTAAGTGCGGATTGCATGCCTTGGGCATTATCGCACAGTAAGACAATATCATCCGCATACTCAAGGTCGGGAAGTCTTTCTCCAGGCAACAGATCCACACCACCATTACTTACATTCATCAGAGCTGTTTCCAGAATGTCATCGATGGCAAAGTTGAAGAGGAATGGTGAGATTGGGCAACCCTGCCTAACCCCACTGCTCGGATGGAACAATGGAGAGAGGTGGTTGTATGCCCTGCCCTCACTCTGCCTGAGGTGTTTTTATATAGGGCTTTTAGGATGTTAATATACTTCTCAGGCACACCCTTCTTCAATAGGCAATCCCAGATAACAGTCCTGTCCAACGAATCGAAGGCAGCCCTGATGTCAAGAAACACTCTGATTGTTGACCTTTGGTAAGTATGGCGGTGTTCTAACATTTGGCGGAGGGTGAACATATGACCAATACATCCTCGATCAGAACGAAAACCAGCCTGCTCCTCGCGAGTCAATCTTTCTCGGGTTTTGAACAGCCAACGAAGTATGACGGAGGCCAATAGCTTGGACGCAATCGGAAGTAGACTTATCCCCCGATAGTTGTTGCAGGAATGACGTGAACCCTTTTTAAAGATAGGGACAACTATCGACTCATTCCATGACGTTGGTACACTCTCTAATTCCCAAACCTTTGTAAACAACGTTGTCAATTCCTTAGTCAAAAAGTCACCACCATCTTTAAAAAGAGCCGGAGGTAAGTCATCTGAGCCAGGTGATTTGTAACGCTTCAAGAGTTGGAGTTCCTTGCGGACTTCCTCCTCGTTTGGTGGATCAGTCGTCACCGGCCATGGAGGGCAGGACAGTCTGACTGATGTTGCTGGAGCAGCAGGCCAGTTGAACTGCCCTTCGAAAAATTCTGCCCATCGTCCAAGACATCGATGGATGTTAGTGATTGGCATCCCGTCATTTTCACAGATTGTTTCGCTCACACCAAACTTCTTACTGCCAGTGGCTCGGATGAGTTGGAAGAGCTTCCGGTAGTTACCAGATGCAGCTGCTGCTTCCAGCTCATTAGCACGCTCCGACCACCAGACTTCTCGGTCCTTACGCAAGCTTTGCCCAATTTTCTTACGTAACATCCTTCGTTTGTTGTCAAACTCACGGTCACCCGGAGTCGACCGACGGGCTTCAATAAGTTGTAAGGAACCAGAAGAAACCCAGTGCTTAAAAGCGGGACGTTTCGCAAACCCACAACTGACTGTTCCCGCCATTTTCATGGCGTCATGCAATTGCAACCAATGCTCATCTATACCATTCGGTGGAGTGGTAGCTAGCCTAGAAGCTAGCTCGGTTCGATACTTACTAGCAACAGAAGTTGCAACCAGCTTGCTAATATCAATCCTTTGATGGCGGTCACTTCGTTGTCCACTGAAAAGTAAGGCAAGATTGGCGCAGACCAATGCATGGTCAGAGTCCAGATAGATACTCCAAAAGGAGCGGCAGTCTTTTACACAACCACGCCAGCGGAAGCTGATCGCGATGTGATCAATCTGAGTCCAGGCTTGGGATGCAGAGGGAGGACGCCAGGTGGCACATCGGCGATGACTGTGCCGAAAGTTAGTGCTAGCCAGAAACAGGTTGTGGTATGTGCAAAGTTGCAGTAGACGGTTCCCGTTATCTGTCCTGCGACCAACGAGTCCCCATCGGCCACCTAAACGACTCTCTTCTGTGCCTAGACGCCCGACCTGCGCATTCAAGTTTCCGGCTAGTACTACAATATCTGTCGAACGCACTTTCTGGAGAAGAACAGACAGCTGGTGGTAAAACTCATCCTTGATTGCATCCGGGCTGCAATTTGTCGAGGCATAGGTGGAGATGACGAAGAGACATCGTTTCTCCCGCCGATTTCTTCTCACTTTGATGGAACTTTCTAATCTAACAGCACATAACCGACTGTTGATGGGGATCCAATCGACTAGTGCTGCCTCAGCTCTATCGCTTAGTGTGACACCAACGCCAGCAAGACCAGACGAAGATGCCACAGGATCCCCGGATAAGCGCACGTAAAACAAGCTTTTCAAAGCGACAGATGGAGATCGAATTTGTAGTACTTCACCAGAGTCTTGAATACGGGTCTCGGATAGACAACAAACATCAACATTGAGACTTTCCAAAGACATAGCCAGCCCTATCTGTTGTCCGACCTGCATAAGTGTGCGAACGTTGAAGGCAGCCAGTTTGAATGGAGCACGTGGTTTCAGAAAAACTGCTTCAGTTCTCGTATTCGGTGGTAACATACAATTTTCAACCGAACAGTGACTCGAGAACGTTTAGATACAGTCGAATTTCCACCAAAGACGAGCCGCTGTATAAGTATAAAAGAGGGTCAATAATGTGGAAAATAATAATAATGATAATGATAATAATAATAATAATAATAATAATAATAATAATAATAATAATAATAATAATAATAATAATAATGACAATAATGGTAATAATAATAATAATAGTATTAATAATGGCAATAATAGTAATGATAATTATTTGAATTGATTGATTGTTTATCGGATTGAGAAAGGTAGTTGCCGTAGTCATAGAGTTCATCGTTTGTGTGTGGGCTGTGATACTGCCCGGGTGCCCAAACCGAAGCAGGTGGTTATCTTAGGGGGCCACACCCCGAGCCTTTGACCTAATGGTCTAACCCACAAGACAGTGGAACATCGTGAGGAG